ATTTGTAATCGTAGAAAAAAAATAACCATACGGTTTAAAACGGTCCGAAATAGTGTTGTTAAACGGTGGTTTTCATTTTGTCAAACCTAAAACATCCGGAATTGTCTGATTCGTTAAAAAAAAAAAAAAAAAATCAAATCATTGAAAACAGCGACCCGATTATCGTACACCTTTTTTTTTTTTTTTTTCTTAAAAAAAAAAAGTCCATTGCGGCCCGATTCCCGGACGCCCACGGATACGTGTATGCGCCTAATTCGCGCGATGGGAAGGTGGTAGAGGGGACGTTTAACGTGTTTAACCGTGTGCGCGACGATCAACCGTTGCGCGCGCAAACAGATCCTGAACGGAGTTCGGTCAACAGTGTTGTTTAACAGTCGACAACATACGTCAATATTAAGGTACACGTCATATTACGGTAAAATATGTACACAGAGGTATATTTTTTCTTTACCAATATTCGTTTGACATTGTATGCTTATTTTCCCGTTTTTCTCACGTTTTTTTTTCCCCCCCGGTTTTTCACATTTATTGGGAAAATCCAAAAATGACCTCCCTAATACACCATCCGGATAAAATTTCCGTCAGAAAAATTTCTACATTTGAAAAGCAGTGCGATAGTTCTATTAAAAAAGTTGTTAGCAGCTATAAAAATTAAATAAATAAATAAACATCATCGGAACCAATATACATTCCTCGCCCGAATCTAAAAAAAATATACACGAAAAGCGAGCCGACGCTGCTGTTGTAGTTGGGAACGTACGGCACCTAATGCTATTCGAATAAATATTCGGTCCCTATGATCATTTTAACCGAATTGCAATAAAAAAAAAAAGTTATAGAAACCCTTACATTGTATTCATTTTCTATGGTTTATTTTTCTTTGTAACTATCCTAAATTATTTCCCCAAAACTTCGAAACATATAAAACAATAACTGAAAATTTGTTACGGATAACGAGTAGAAGATGTATGATAAAAAAACGCTGTCCTAGGATAATGGAGACGGGTGCGGCCACTGTTATAGGTAATAAAATGTGTACCGGTACACAACGATAAATCATTGCTTACGAAAAAACGATTCTAAGCGGAGTTCAATTGATACAGATGCTTTGTCAACAATATATATGTCATATTATAATAAAATAATTAAATAAGATCTATATATATTTTTTTTTAATAATATTTGTTTAATTTTGTACCTATTTTTCGGTTTTTCTCATTTATCGGGAATACTTTTGGGAAAATCAAAAAACTACCCCCTTAATGTACCTGTCTGGTACGATTTCCTTACAGAAAAGGTACTACCATTGAAAATCGGGTCACGCCCGTCTAAATAATTAAAATAATTATAAAAAAAATTGGGGCGAAATTGCCGGTAGAAAAGTTATACACAGAAAATAAAATTAAACATCGTTGTAAAACCGTAAGTTTCCTCGTTCCACTCAAAATCTAAAAGTCGTTTGGTGACAAAAAAAATGCACGCGTCATAGGTAGCGAGCAAATAAAGCAATACGCATTTCTCACCAGACTGAATCTAAAAACCTTGTCCTCTAAAATTGCCTCGTGGTCGTCTGTACTTACTTTTTACCGTCAGTCCATCTCTTCGTATCTGTTATAAACAGCATAATATTTTACTCGATGCTATCCTACTTTGCGCTGTGTAGGTGTGCACATAAAACTCTCCCCTATATAGGGGTATAATGGGGTAAAAAATCATTGATTAAATTTTTCAAAAACAATATTATTATTCTTCGTAGGGTTTTTTCATCGCATGGCTTTACTGTTTTTTTTTTTTTTTTTTCTAAACGCGTTATACAACACGATGACGTTTATAATACTGCAGTTTATAATAAATATGCATTGTATTTTGTTTAAATTGTTGTTGGAAATCTGACAGTGATTTATTTTTATTGTTACTCTTTTTAATCGTATATATATATATATGAATAATAAAATAAAATAAATTATAAAAATAAAATCAACAAACGCGCAGTCATATCAAATCATTTCAAAAAGAAATATAGAAAAGCATTTTATACTTATGAAGAACTCCATCAACGCATAAAATTAAATGTGATATTTAAAACTAGAGGTAACGTCGTGTAAGCCACTGTTTTGTATGGAAAAGGTAAGGTAAGGAAAACGGGGAAGGAAATTTAGTTTATTTTATACTGAACACAACAATCATTGCAAAAAAAAAAAAAAAAAAAAAACGATTAAAATAATGTTTTGTAAAAATTCAATGTTCAACTATAAAATGGTAAAATTTACAATTTTTTCTTGATTTTTTAAGAATTTTATAGCCGTTTGAATTTAGTGTACGTTCATTTTTTTTTTTAACCAGCGAGAAAAACTCGAATACTTGGTCTAATTTTGTATTCATAAATAACGTTGTACTAAAATAAATCATAATAATCTTTAGACAAATTCGTAAACTTCATATTTCCATAAATAACTCAAAAAGACATATTAATATTTTTAAAATAATACCATGTCTAAAAACTGTTCAAGTATTCGGGTGACAATGTAAAATCTCTACTAGGTTTACCCAGGCGCGTTTCCACTAGTGGGACGATGGGAGCGATCGACCTTCCCCCCCCCCGTGCATTTTTTAAAATTATAACTAACTGTCATTATTTTATTAACAACGAAGAATACTTGTAAAAATATGTTTTGCATAAAATAGAAAAATTCACTTTGTCTCATAATTTTGAAATAAATAATCAGTTCATTTTTAAATTTCAGACTTGTTTTTAATTTTTATCCGATTCTCATCATTCGGATTATCTGATTGCGTATCGCCGGAAATCGTTCGATCGGTAATAATAAATTATTAATAGTCACACGGAAACAGCAGAACACACATTATCTTAACTGCGTTTCATAAAATCAACGATTTTATATTTACGCACCTATATCATATTAATGTGCCGTACGACTCGTTCGTTCGTATAATCGTATACTTGTACGTTTTATCAATTTATGGAAATAATACAAATAATTTAACTCAAATACATGTTGAATATATATATATATATATAAAAAAAAAAAAAGAGATTTGATTTTTTGAAAATTCGCAACCTCCCCCCTTTGGGTGACTTCTGGATCCGCTACTGGATATACCGGTAAAATATTTTTTTAAAAAAAAACCGACGTCGCTCAATGGTTTTTCCGACAGTTTTCCGGGGTTCCGCAAAATCAAAACCGTCTTCAATTGCGCACATAGAAAATATTTCGTTTACTAAGTGTTTACCGACCAGAAAAAAGACAGGGCAATATGCCGCACGCACTCGTCAACACGCAATACTGAAACCGGGAATCGCCCGTTTTCACCGTCATGCCGCCCCCTTTTCTGTTACACATAACGTAGGCATTGCGAACCCCTGCAGACGCCTGTAATTTAACGTAATACTTGTTATTGTTAGTCATTTCCTCCGTTATTTTATTGTCGTACACTTTTTCGTTTTGTACTCATCGTCACTACTGGGTAAACCGAACGGAGTCCCGTGCGACCGTCCAATAATATTCGAACGGGATCGCTGTCGAAATCCCGACGAGCCCGACAAGTCCTGACGATTTTAAATCCCGAAAAAATATCACACGCCCGAAATCTAATGGGTTTCGTATAGGTCATTTTAACGGTTTTTTTTTTTTTTTATTACTATTATTTTTACATAAATCATAGGCAATTACAATAAGAACAAAATAACGGGATTTAATAGACAATGCTGACATGATCCTAAACGGAATTTAACGGTTTATCGTAAACCGTTTCGTGCCGACGACAAGTAATTTATTCTTTCCGTGTGTATGTACAGCGGGTATGTTAGCAGTTACCGGCATTTCGGAGCTCACGGGAAAAACCGCCTTTGATAGCGACCATTGCACGGGGGGGGGGGTTGGGTTTAGATTATTAATCTAGAATTTTAAATAGAATTTTGTTAATACACATATCTGTTCGGCGTCCTCGTATTGTTGTGCAGCGTATTTGCCAGAGTGGTCGGACCCCACAGTACCAGCAATGTCACGGCCGTCATAGTGCGGAACGAATATACGGCGATAATAATATTGTGCACCAGGATTCGGACCTTCTCGGGATTTTAAGCGTCTTCTCCGATCGAACGCTATCCTTTTACATTTTCGTTTTGCGGAAGAACGAAAAGTACGATCTCGGCGATAAAGGAAATCGACCGGTTTAATATTTGGCGAGAAAGAGGAAAAGTATACTTTTAGCGGACACCGGCGACGCCCGTAAAACCAATACATTTGTGGCTCCGCTATTAGAATCTCGACGAATAATATCACTTCCTATCGCTAAATTTAATTTAATAAGTTGCCAGTGTCTCAACTATTAATAGTTTGTTTTATATTAGGCAAAACAACTGTAGAAGTTTAATCGACTAATTGTATAAATATTTTTTTTCCTTTTTTTTTTTTTTTTAAAATCAATAGATCGCCGGTCCTCACCGAGCAAAACTCGTGTGGAGGCCTAGGAGTTATCTTAGTTAAACGAATATTTTAAATTATAAACCACACATCAAATTTTTCAATCAATAACTAAATTACGCAAATACGCGGTATTGGACACAGAATTTAACATATATATATTTATTTTTTTATTTTCATATTCATGCCGGATCCGGTGAGATATATTTTTTTTTGAATACGGGTAAATACATGTCGTCCACCACCCTAGGCATTAAATTGAATATTCGGTTCCTTTGGCTTTGAGTTCTTAGGAACTCAAAGCCCCTTTGACATCGCGCTTTTTTGGCCAGTTCAATGTACGCTGTATGGGAGATAAAATATATAAAATTGTTGTTGTGACAATATTATTCGTGTTGGCACTACCTACATAAACGATAAAAATAAATTCTACTAAAACTAAACAAAACGAGTTCGATTAAAACGCGAATCGAATCGTCTCACGTATTACCTGAATATACAAACTAAACTAAACTTCGACTACCTATGTAATTAAATGTGTAGTTTAATCGCGTTATGCGTACGAATAAAGAGGCGAGTATATTTATTTTTTTTTTATATTTCATTCCACTACCTTATAATACTCTCGTGTATAAAATGGGAAACCATCTTTCTATGGCTCTTGTCACTTTTTACGAGTTTGCCCGTTCGCTGTCTAAATAATACATGTGACTCGATTATTTTTAATGCGCCCTCGAGTTTAATCAACTGCACGGCGATTTTTCAAGCGAACATTTATTTAAAGATTAAATACAAGTGACAACGTAACCTTTCGGTGTTATAATAGAATAGGTATCGATGGAATACTGGACGTTTAGAATATTATACAATTAAGTAGACAGATCGATACGAATAACCTATACCGCGGGTGTGGTTATTTATGCTTCAACTCAATATCGAATCAACAAAACGATATTTCTCGGTCGATTTATTTTACACAATCGTTGTGGAAAATATCAAACACATTCGCTATAGTTGTGCGAAACAATAATTGATTCACAGATTCTAAACGCGGCGAGGAACGTATTGAATTTACTATGACGTATGCTATTTTTCCGGTCTGCTTACAACTTTTCCACCGGAAATCCAACTCGGATCGTCAACTTCAGTATTAGCTTAGCTGTTATCGAATATTGTGTACATAGAGCATTGGTGAGGAGATTGTTTTCCTTGTAATTTTTTTAATGATTCCGAAAAATCGGAATGTTTACACAATAATAACAGTTTTTTTTTGTAATTTTCAATGTTATTTCTTTTTTTAATTCAGTTATAAATAAACACAGGGATCTGGAATGTGCACCGAACACTTATATTAGTATTTTCTAGACGTGGTTTAGTTTTCAAATTATTCGATCGATTTTTCAGCTATTTATAGACATTTTAATTTTCAGACATTTTTACGTAATTTTTATTTGGTGGAAACTCGCGGATAAAATTTGTTTTGTTTACTTGGTTTTAATCAGACCGAGATTTTTGAGGGAAAGTTCGTTTATTTGAAAAAAAAAACCACACGTTACAGTATACCCAATACATTCCCGTTACGTTCAATATCTAAAAATATGAATACTTACGACAGTAGTATTATGCATAAACAGAGAAATACTACACTAAACGTTCCGTTAAAATTTAAAAAAAAATCAATATTTCCACAATTATAATATTTTCAATTATTGAAAATACGAAAAAAAAATAGCGTAATATTGTTAAGTTTTATTATTTCGTTTTAGTGAGAAAAATATTTGTCGGTTGCGCTACAATCCCGCCCGCTATCGATACTCAAATTCAAATTCTTTTTTTTTAATTGGTTTTTTTTTTTTTTCCTATCGTGTTTCAGAAAGTTTTCAAGGACAAAACGAAAAGGCGCTCTTGAACCACCTCCTAGACCAATACAACCCTCTGGAGAGGCCCGTATCCAACGAATCCGACCCACTCGAAGTGACGTTCGGAATTACGCTACAGCAGATAATTGACGTGGTTTGTATTTATATAATATTAAAATAACGCGTACCGCACAGGTACACACGGCTTGTGGATGTGATAACAATAAACGTTGTCCGATCGCCAAAAAAAAAAAACGTTTCCGATGTACACGGCGTGATAAAAGTGCGCGCGGATGCGAATGGCTCGGCACGGTTTTTCGGCGCGAGCGGCTCGAGTCCCCGTCCGCGACGCGAGTTTTGAAAAACCGCGGTACGTCACGCCCCCTCCTCCCTCCGCCCCGCCGCCCACACCTCCCAAAACGTCCGAATCCACAGTGCACGGCGGTTACGGTGCCAACGACAGTGGCGAACGTGCGGCACATCGGTTCGCGAAAACTGCCTGAACGCGGCCGGACTTTCGGGAAACGCGTCACGGAGACAAGGCCCCCGACCGCATTTTCGTCTCGCGTCACACTAACCGGACCTAAAACCAAACCGTTCAAACGTAACCCCGTAGCGTACGCTTGCCCGGCAAAAATAAACTAAAACACAGTCGGATTGCGCGCAGTTTAATTCTGTTGAAAGAACCCGCTGTCGGCGAAATAAATTCGAACGTTGAAAACGTCCGGTCTGCGACAAGCGACCGCGATAGCCGGTCACTCGAATTAGAGGGGAATAGTAATTTCGTTTTAAATAAAAACGGTCGCGTCCGCTCCCGCCGTGTTTTATTTCGATAAAACGCGCCGTTACCGTTCGGCGAACAAACGCGGTCGATACCGTTTACATTAATATTATTGCGGACGGCAAACACCGCGCGGGGCGACGCGTGCAGCGTTAACGGCGCTGGAAAATCCGGTCCGCTCCGCAGTTGACTCCGGCCGCGTCGACCGCGGCAAACGCGTTTGAATTTCGTAGCGGAGCCCTTTTCGGGATTTCCCGTTTCGAACCGCGCGCGCGCCGACGCGGCCGGTGGGTGTGGGTGCGCGGTCGACAACCGCCGCACTGGGGTCGTCCGGTTTAATCGCGGCTGTCCGCGTAACGCGTTACGCGTCCGGGTTTCGCCGATTGTTTGCGAAAACCCGCCGGGGAATTCGAAAAAACGACCGCCCGCCGATACGCCGACTACGTCCGAAATGTTATTTCGGGGCGCGCTACCGGTTTTCCGAACGGAGCGCGAGATTTCCGGCGAGAAAATCGTCGTTGCCGACGGGAAACACAAATGGCCAACACAAAACCGCCGCTCGCAATCTGTATTGACGAACCCGAACGCGAAAATCGTTTTTTTTTTTTTGGTTCTCGATAATTTATAATTACGGCGGTGCCTCGCGGACGGGTAGGGAGGGGAGCGCGAAATCCGGTCCGTCCGGTGCGCGTGTCGGTGTGTAATCCCGCCGCATCGTGCGTACACGACCGCGTACAACGTACAACGCGGTACGCATCGCCGTTGTCGCGGTCCCGCCCGTCAGTCCTCCCGCCGTGCACGGGTGCCAGCGGGTATAGCGATTTTCCGTTTCGCGCATCGCATTATCGTCCCGCCGACGCCGCGTGAAATATCTCGCGCTAATCCGTGCGAATCGAAACGGGCTACGGGTGCGGGGCACGGGATGCGGGCGACGTACGCGCGCGGCCGGCAATTTTTTTTTTTTTTCGTCCGCGGTGTTCAAACGGTTTCGACGCGATAACCGCGCGGACGAACGGGCGCCGCCGTCAACGGGCGAACGCGTGGACAACGAGCCGGTCCCGTCGGCCGGTTCGCGCAGCGGGCTATTTCAAAACCGCCGCCCTGCCCTCTCGCCCCTCCGTCTCCCACCCGCGCTAATTGTTACGGTCGGTCCGCGGCCGGCGCGCAGCGTGCGTTTTTTCGCAACATTCACACCGTGATCGGCTCGCGTGCGGCGAACGCGCACCGTTGCCGTCGGTTATTGGTGTTTACTGCCCGCGCGGTTATCGGAAAACACGCGTGGCCGTCGCGCGGCCCGAACGGCCGCGACACCCGCGCCAGCAACAACCGTTTAAACGGGCGACGACGCGAGCCAACGGCGACGGGGGCCCGCGAGACGTCGAGCGCCGTTACGGGCGATAACACCCGCGTCCGCCCGCGCCGTAGTCTCGACCGTCACGCCGCGACATTCGGGACGTTTTCGGCGTGCGCGGTCACGAGTAAAAACCATAAACCGAACGTAATTAACGAGCGGCCGTCCCGGAGACGGGTGTGCTGCGACACTATATCGTGTGACGGCCACTTGAGTAAAGGTCGCGGTTTCCCCCCCCCCACCACAAACACACGCTAGCGTTCGGCTGCGTACACTCGCCCCGTGCGCGGCTACGCCGCCGTCGTACGCCGCGCGTTTCCCGTTTTTCCCGAAAATGCGGATTGAAATAAACGGATACATTCGACGAGCGTTCGGCGCGTTAAAACACACACACGCACACACACACACACAGTCCCGTGTAAATATAGGTACCTGCGTGTTGAATGTTAATTTGAAAAAAAAAAAATAAAAAAATTTTAATACATACACGTACATCGTATTGTTTTTAACTTTATTATCATAATCACGTCCGGCGCCGTTTCACATACTAATTCGTTTTGGTCCATAAAAAAATACTACGTACACCAACACGTGTTTTCACATGCGAATTACGAACCGTAAATAAACGCGCACGTTGATTTGCGGAATTTAGTTTTTCTTGATTGTTTTTTTTTTTTTTTTTTTTGGTGAGAAACCGCGTAACTATTGTTTATCCCAAGAGGAAAGGCACAGGTCGGATACTAGGCGGAATTCGGTTTGCGTTTGCCGTAATGAAACGAAAGGTCGAACCAAAGTCGTTGTCTCCGCAATATTTTTCGAATATGTTAACGCGCATTTTGCCGACAGCGCCGTTGAAATAGATACGTTTTTCGCGTCTATTCGAACGACATTCGATCGTACGATATATTGTCGTATGACGCCTGCCAGAGACAAAAGTGCATTATTGTATTTTCGATAAAACGATTACTGATGGCTATAACAGACGGGATAAGTTTTTCCGCGATATTTTAACGGCGTGTCAGTGAATATCAGGCGCGTGTCTGCAGATATACCTCGTCTGCGACCGAGACGATATTTTGTCCAATATTCCTCTATAATGAACACAACTACATGTTAAGTAAAGATGTTAAGTAAGTCACAATCACTTCCCCGGAACGTCCTCGTATTACCGTACATCCGCATAGGGCTCAACGAAATTTCCCTCCCTAGGAATTTATTGTCGACACATTTCCGCGAAAAACATTCTAGGTGCGCTATTGCGTGTACCGCTAAATGTCTCAGCCTGATTACCACCATACTGAAATGTGATTTTCCGTAATACGTTTTCTAGCTACCGTGTCCGTGTAGAATCCGTAGTATGTACCGAAATTCACATTTCAGGATAAATTTCAAATTTTCATCTCTTCTGGAATAAGCATACAAATTTATTTTTCGAATAAACATACCGATTCATAACGTCAGATCCGAATAGTAATTTTTTTTTCAAAAAACTTTAATCTATACATTATTTTTCATCTCGGAAATAACCCCGTTTACCCCCTCAAATATGTGTCTGGCGAATATCGCTGGTTTAAGCACCTCGTTTTAAGTTGGTTTTGCGGTAGGAACGGTGCATTTGTGTCGTTTTAACGATACAAACGTTCGATAAACCGAACGCGATTAAGACAATTGAATCGGAAAAATAACATCAAACTATGAAGTTTAATTGAGACCCGGTTGGTTTGAACTCACTTTTTACTACTCGCTGAAGAATTCAATTTTTTTTATTAATTCCTACTATCACAATACATTATAATTAAAAACTGTTCGATTTTCGAACCGAACCGAACCAAATATCGGACAGTTCGGTTCGAAAATCATTCGATGTCGATTCTGTGTGGTCACCAATACGACGTTTTGTGTCGGGACAGAGCGGCATTGTTACGAAAAAAGAAAATTCTATTTTTTCTCTTTAGTGGGTCTCATAATCGTAAATTGGTAAATGTCGTAGAGGTTAACCTTTTTACTTTTTTAATGTTCGAGTTCGATAAAATATTTTAAAAGTTCGGTTCGGTTCTGGTTCGTTAATTTTAAGGAAAATTCGGTTCGGTTCGGCCTTAAAAATCAGGGTTTGTACCAGCTCTAAGTATAATGGCTATGAATAAGTTAGAATTTTCTCGTTTTATAACAAGTTAGCATTTGCCGCACTCGTTCAACAGATCGACATTTTGAAAATCAAAATCTTCAACGTAAATAAATAGAATATAGATATTTGGTAAATACACATTTATACTATTTGGATAAAACGTTTTAAAGGTTGACCTCGGCATTATTATACAAAAAAATCATCGTTGTGAAGTGTTTCAAATAATTTCCTATGTTTGAAACGTTCACAAATAAAATTAAAATAACCAATATGATCAGAAGAGTGAAGATATCTATATACATGTATTTTTAAAATAAACTGTTTCCGTTATTTTGGATTAAAAAGTAATATTGTTTTTCAATTTTTTTTTTTTTGCTACCTGTAATAAAATTGTATTTATAATTAACCATTTTTATAATATAATATTTACAAACTTTTTTTTCCAAACAAACAAACATGTTTAAAACATAATTTTTGTAATTAAAACATCTTAAAAAAAAAAAAAAAAAACATATATATATATTTTAAAAGATAGTGATGATAATTTCCTATCATCCAACACTTACCGTCTGTATTGCTCAGTTTCGTCCGTTGCGTCACATCGAGCTTTAAGATTAACTATAAATCGTTATTTTATCTATTCAATTTATTAGTTTATACAAGTTTATTTTAGTTTAGTTTATAAGAAAACACAGCAAAATTAAAGCTATGCCTACCGAATGTGATTGTACATATACCTGTTACTGGAAAATGTTTTTGAATCGACATTTCTTATAAAATATGTGGTGCAGGATCGGCGGTTTATCGACCCGCTACTTAAATATATTCATAGAAAAAGTTTCAATGAATCTTTTAAGATGCGTTTTAATGATAGCACTACTGTATAAATAAATTATTTAACTTTATCCCATCTCTATAAAATAAAAAATTAACGATGAAGGTAAAACTTTGCTGATTTTTAATTATTATTTCTCTAAAACTTTCGTGAATGCCTGTATACCTACTAGTTTATTGCCTCCACAAAAATAAATATTATGTCAATTATCAATACCGACTAATACCCATTTTTATCGTTTTTTAATTTCAAGAATTTCGTTTTCAAGAAATTTCCGAGAAGAAGTGTCTGAAATTTAAAAATAATTTTTTTTAATTACAACTTGAATTTGTAAATGAATCCCATTACGAGCGTTTACCTACTACTATACGGGAGTGTTCCGAGAATTAATTCGGAATTTGTTCCATTTAATTTGGAAATGTCTTTTATGGAATACATCCTAATGCACACCTGCCCTAAAAAATAAAAAATGGCATCCACAGCGTTGTCCTTTAAACAAAACGAAATTTATGGAAATTATACGAAAATATTTAAAAATAGAGAAATTGTTTTAATTTCGTTTGAAATTTATCCAACAAGATAATTTCCCGTTTTAAAAATTGCACGACACCGCGGATACAGCACTAAGCGTCAATAAATTTGTTGGTGCCTACACGTTTTTAATCATCATTAATTATTCAAAAATAACGTTTTATAATTATAGGTGGCTCGAATTCCTCGAACTGTGCAGCAACTATTGAATATCCGCGGAATACATGACTATAATATCCAAACGATAACCGTGTATGGAAATTGAACGTCTGAATTAATTGATTCGTTTATAAGTATCCCTTTGGAATCCGGGTCTGGAGTTATTTGACAGCATTTTACAGACATATTATTATTATACATTTTCCTACAACGCGATCTGGTTATATTATCCGATATAATAATATGCAAGGACGGTTGTACAGAATGTCCATAAAAATCCCGAGCTGTGGTCGTCCAACTCCTGGGATCAATACCGACAGTTTTTACAAGGTTTAGCTTAGACGCGACTTAAATTATACAAGCAATATTACTTTGATGTCTTGTATACAACGGCTTACGTGGGAGACATAGGACATAATATACCTACTGAAGGATATTTGGCTTTATTGAGTCGCGACGATCATTAGCGAACAACGCTTTTACATATTCCCGAATTTCTAAAACTTCTCAGCTGTATTTTCGACGTCCCAAGCTGTCTAAACCGGATTTCGCATGAATAAGTTGTTGTTGTTTTTTTTTTTTTTTTTTTAATTATTCAAAAAATTATAGATTTTTTTTCGTTATATATTATTACTTCGAACGTAAAAAATTGTATATTAAATGTAGAAAATGGACATTTTTCTTTTTGACTAAACCACTATTATTATTGTGTACATTTAGCCGTAGAATATGCACGCAGTTTTGGTGCGTGTTTTATTATTTTATATTTTATGAATAAAAAGTGGATGTAAGAATGTAATATTGTCCCCCTTTGCAACAAGGCAGAGAAAAAATAGTCATGTCAAAAAAGGTCACGTCCAACAAATAATACACAATAAAGTGAACAGCGCTTGAATACTGCTTTTAAACATTGTGAAGGTAAAACACGTATCTTCGAGGTATTGCTCAAAATCTGAATACATAATATATTATTAACAAATTAGTAAATGAATACATTTTTTTTTAGTCTTTTTAAATTTTTGGATATTTTTTTTTTTTTTTTTTACTTCTTGATCATTACATATTAAACTTCTTTATGAATAATTGCATTCATTTTTATTATAAGTAGATTGTTAATAATTTATAAATATATATATTACACGACTACTTTATTTATACTTGTCGGTCGATTGTCCTTTTCGGTATTTTGGTTGTCAGTAGGTTGTCCTGTCGGTCGAATGATTGTCGATCAACTGACCCAGATCCCGTTCTACGCACGCAGTACGATTTTAGAAACATTCCAGCAATATTTTAGTTGTTATTACCGTTTTTAATGTCCAAGTCTTTTTACAATAACTTGTTCCAACTCTCGAGAATTCTCTAAAATTAGATACGAGGTTTACATGATACATTTTTCAAATGGAACTATAAATTTGTAATTCGGTGGTGATTTCTTTTTTTTTTTTTAAGCCTTTTTAAATTAAAATTTTGACGAATACCGTAAAAGTCACGGCATTTACCAAACATACTATTTTCTACCAAACATCATAGCTCAGAATCGTCTTTAGTTTACAATGATTTATTTTTGTGTCAGTGAATACATTTTTTTTTTTTTTAATTTCTTGATTCCCTCGGTTAAACGGGAGACCAATAATTCTTTATTGATTAGCAACCAGTGTTTTTACAATTATTATGAATTATGTCCGGTTTTGTATTAATTTTTTTTTTTTTTTTTTTGACGATAGGTATCTACGATGATTGTGGTTTCAAACGAGCACCCGTACATACCCCGTAATAAGTACGAAAAACGATAATCGGTTGACAGTAAAGTAGGTCAAGTTAGGTGGTCCGATATTCAGGCCGAACTTCTATAAATATGTAACATTTTAGCGGCCCAATACACGAGCGTCCAAAAGAATTCTCTAAGAAGTGCTCAAAGTACTTATATTTTGAAATCTGTCCCGAATTTCGTGATTTATGATGGTGAGCGGTAACTATATCGGAATACTTACTCAGTTGGAAATATGAAATTACGTTTTAAAATTAAAGATTAACTCGAAATCACATTTTTATTTATATTATAAGACCAGCATGGTTATTGGTTACATTGAAACCGAACTCGTTTCCGTTATTATTATACAATTTTATTAGTCAATATACGTTGTCGTGTATCTATTATCTAATTAATATATTTCGTCAAATGCTGTACACTTTGTGTTCTTATTTCCATTGTGTTTATTTTTTTTATTTTTGTTTTATAATAATCATTAATATCATCGTTTTGGTGTGTTTAGGATGAAAAAAATCAAATCGTCATCACGAATGCATGGTTAAACATGGTAAGTACCCGCTTATTTATTATTTCATCAATAATATTATATTTCAGCAATTACGAATTACATATTTTTATTATCGTTCTAATAATACGCATCCGATATTAAAACAGATTCTATAATATTCAAATCGACGAAAACGCAAATATTCATCGATTGTTTGTTACCTACTCTTGTGATGATATTATTTAAAATGATATATTATGAACGAACAAGTTTTATGGATTATGTCAAGAGGGCTCGCATGTGCTATCTCAATCCAACCAACCGGCAGTATGGCGAAATTTATTTTACACATACTGCGTAGAACTCGGTTTTGGGGTAAAAAAAAACCTGTTATAAAATTAAAAGACGATAATATTCTGGAGGACAAGACGGATGCGTTTCTTTATTCAAATTCGTTTTTATTAATGTTACAGTCATTTAAAAACAATACTGAATTACCTAATCATTATTTCTAAACGATTTATTGAACGCGTTATATTCGAAATAATAATTAGAAAACTAGGAGAAACGCATCGTCTTGACCTCCGAGTGTTGTCCTCGTTTAATTTTACAATAGGTGGACTTTACTCTAAAACTAAAATTTAGTGTTATACGCAATCTGCGTAAGGAAGATTTTGCTATATTACCCGTAAGTTACACTGAGACAACACACACGGGTATTTATGACGTCCTCGCAAGCCATAATAACATTAACGTTCTCAGCGCAGCGAGGAATGTAATGGGTTCACTATGGCGGGTGCTTTTTTTAAGAAATAAAATATGAAAAGGAAAAACCGTCATATAAAAAAAGAACAACTTGTAAGCTCGACCATCAAAAACCCGAAATTCCACGGTGAATACTCGTACCGCGTATTAAACTTTCACTATGTCAAAACAACGCGTACAAATAATCGTATGATCATTGATTACAGAAGAATAATAATAGAAGGAAGCCTAGAAGACACATAAAAAAAAATTAGCTTCCCCTGCAATCATTGAACTCATATTTATCAATGGAACGGTTTTGTCTGTTTATGACCACTCTTCTATTAGAAATATTGCCCCGATCATTTTAATTTTTTGATTCTTTAGTAGTTTCCTAAATAATAGGGGAGAAGTAAAATTGAGGAGAAACGTCGGGAAAACTGAAATATATACATGATCACGATTTCTGTTTTACTCGATTTTATTTTTTGTTGTAATTCAATGAAAATAATGGCAGAGACTTGAAGTTCCACCGAGTAATTATGTTACCCCTTTCGAGATCCAGATAATATTTTCAAAACATTCTGGAAATTATTTATAGCCATTTGTCAGCTGGATGGACCGACACGATGGATTCGACAATTCCACAGTACGTAGGTATTTTAATTCCGAGAGAACAAAAAAAAACCTCCAGCAAATTGCAATACAATAGTTGAGCTAGTTTAATTTAAAACGACCGTTGAAAAACAAAAAAAAAAATCGACAGAATGTTAGAAAAGTAGTATACAGGAATTTATTTAATTGATATCGGCTACTACGAAAACTAACGAAAATCGATTCTGAGCAAAGTTCGATTATTCGTGTTTTTAAATGCCATAGTTTTTATGATTTTCGTCAAAATATCAACGTTAATACTTATGCAAATAAAACTGCTTCATAAGCTAAATTTTTTTAATTTTTTTACTACCAAGTAAAACTTACGAAAATCCCATTAAATTTTCAACATTTTGGATGGGAAACAAATTGTATTCACAAAAATCGAAAAATTCTAGAAAAAAAAAACACATCATAGTAAAACCAATACGTTCCTCGGTCTGCTCAGAATCTAAAACAACATTCAATATAGAGTATACGTGAATATTGAAATACTATAACTCGCAAAAGAAAATATTTATTTTTTAAAAATATGAAGTATTGTGTTCGTAGATACTTTGAACGAGTAGTTTTGGATTATTTTTAATATGTTATTTTTGTTTCGGTGTTTGCATTTCTACGCCAACGAACTGAACCGAATCCCGAAAGCTCAAAAACGAAACAAAATATAATATTGTATTATTTGAAAACGTATGAACGTTTCGCATGGATAGGTGAATTGAAACCAGAGTTGATTAAGATTTCGGAAAATAATATTTAGTCTTTGGATCAAAAGACCGCTGTATAGATTTTCGAAACGATCCGAGTTTAATTTAATCAATACCTGCGCATACAATAGTAATATAATGGCGTGTATATTATAAAACGACACTATAATGCTCGTTCTGAAATGTCGAGTTCGGTTTAGATTTCGCATAATAGCCGCACAGTTAGACCATAAATTATTGTTTGTCACCACGCTAATGGCGCCACCGTGTTATTCAAAGGCCAATGGCGACTTCAACGTGATATACAAGCGCAACTCTCGAGTTACAAAAAAATATGCATATTTATTTTTTTTTTTACGAAAAGTTACGGGTTCGAGAAAAGTACAATAATGAAATCTGCGCAGTGATAATCTGTGGATCAAATACGATAATATCTATCGCAACACTATGCGTCCACGCGTTCTTATTTCGGAGCCGTCGAAACCAACAGTTTTTCGTTTCATTCGACAGTGCGTAGATAATTATAAATTTGAAATTCGAAATTGCATAGTTCAAATTGAGTACATTTTTATTAATTTGAAAACGTTACTTAAATTTTTATTTATCATCTTTCTTTATCGATTTGTACCCTTAAAACGGTTTCATTTTTCCAAACATTCGGTTTGCTATTCGGTTCGCGTTGTCTTTTACGAATTATTACGATTTGAATTTACATAAATCTCGTGCGTTTCGACGTTGAATTACTGTACATTTTTATATCTAGTAAACAGGAACGATTTATTATTTTTGCCACGTGTAGAAAGTCATCGGAAACATTTACAACAGCCGGTTATCGTCATACTGCTTTGGCACTAATCCATTCAATTACAAGTGCCGCGTGTATTTTTGGCTGGAAATCGAAAAAAGTAAACATTTCGGGTCTTGCCCCCTTCTGTTCAAGACACGCTGTAACAGAGATAATGGCGTGAAATATTTACGTGTCAAAAAGGTGAAAGTAGACGATTAAACTTTTCCGAAGGGAACGCATAGCAACCTACATGAACACGTTGAAAGGATTTCGCCCTATACGTAAAAATAAAATAAGACGACTGAGGTAAAAGAAAACAAATCTGAATAAAAAATACCTAATTTATATTTTGATTACAGCTGAATACATAATTTATGTAGATGTCTGTATTCCAATGATAGACGACCTGCTGTGATGTTTTCATTTATTCAATACTAGAGACCGGGGGAATTGTATTTATTATTATCGGTTATCATTTGTGTAATAACATCGTGGAGCATAATATTACATCAAGGATTACAAATTAATCGGTTGTAATATTATTATCGTCACATAATTTTATTTTAAACGAAAAATCGTGTTAAATTAATTCTATAAAAATGAAAGGAAAGGTTTGCGTATACATGTGCGATCAGTACAGTAGTCTGAAAATGTTCATACAGAAGCGAATAAATCGATATATGTGTATTTCGAAGCTGGATTTCCGAAATTCAACCCTAAAGGATTTTTGGTATTAATTTGCTAAAATTAAATTCACTTATTGATTTCGAGGTTACCTTGTAACACCGACGAAATAAAATAAAAGGAAAACCTGAGAGACAAATCCAATTGAATTTCTTTTGTTTATTTCGGTTTATGACAGAATTTTTTTTTTTTTTTTTTAATTTGTTTTTAAATGGTCAAAAGAAAGAGGCAAGAATTGAATTGGTACGGGTAAATTCCATGCGGGACAGTTGATTATATTGTAATAAAATCGACAACGGGTAACTAGAAAATAATAATAAAATACTCGGCATAGAAATGTACGCCGATTTGCCTTTAATTGATGAATTATTACGAAAACAGTATTTTATTAATGCCGTGAAATATACATTAGATTGGACAGGCCTGCACTCTTTTCAGTTTTGTTGTATTTTTTTTAAAAAATTAAGAAATGAAATACGAAAAATTAGCCAAAACAATATATCGTGTTAATTGTGAACATTGAAGGACAATTAGTTTGAATTTCAATGTTTCGTATGTATTAGACGTATAAAAAAAATATCGGCACCTAAGCCCTTTCTTATGAATTATTGAATAAACTCAGCATAATTATTAAGTAACTGTACTTCCCGTATTTGAGGTAATGCCGTGGTCCCGCACAATATTTTGAAAAATTGTATACTTTATAAACCGTAACATACAGGATATAGCTAAATAAAATTCACTTTGTTTTCTACTGAGATTAATTAACAAGAGCCCGATATAATATATGAATATGTTTATTGTTTGGTTCATCTCGCAACGAAGTAAGAAGAAAGCGGTAAACGATTAAAACGAACACAAAAGATTATTAACGACTTTTTCACCGTTGGAGCACGCCTAACCTATACCCACCTGATTTAAAACCAACTAATAACGTATAGGATCGTAGTTTATTCCTCTGTTTTTATCATGGTAAATTAAATAAAATTATCAATAAATCACTCTATATTATAGGGGGCTTAAGTAGGCAGTAATTTCCAAACTACTTAAACCGGCGAGTGAAAGAAATGAAGTGATTGCAAATTCAAAGATTCTTTTCAACGCCCTCCTAATAGAACCCAACGAATTTCAATGAAAATGCGGTGTGGTGATAACAGGGGTTGATAATAAAAACAGTTATCGCGAGGATAACCCGGTATAAGAAAACGACCACTGGGGATACGCCGCCGGGGATGGAAAGATTGTGTATTATAAGAGATGCATAAATTGTGTAATCTGGAATACAAAAGGGAAAATCGACGGAAGACTGAGATAGAATGATAAAAATACTGTCGGAGGGCTGGTATTAAAGACCTCTGGAAAAAAACATTGTCGATACTGTTATCGATGTCATAAAATACAGTAGACTCTCGGTAATTTGAGAAACTCCATAAATCGAACTAATAATGTTTTAGTCCCCGGAGAAAACCCCAAAGAAACTCGAAGGAAACTAGTGCATTTTTGTCCCGTCCGCATAAATCGACGTGTAGGGCGACAAGAAACGTTATCTACGAGCATTATAAAATACGAATTTTTTTAACAACAAAAATCTTTATTATTCGAACTAATACAGACATAGAACAATCATTGACTTTGTGCGTATTAAGAATAATATGCTCGTATGTATAAATTAAGCGCTGAATAATAATCGGCCGCGTCGGTAGCGTTTTATTACCGTACTTTAATCGGTAATAACTTTTCAAATTAATAAAATGTGGTTAGAGTGTTCAAATATTTTATACAGCGTTTTGGACAATGTTTTTGAACTGCAGACCGCGGTGAAAAACATGATCTAAAAGAAGAAATTGTAATTATCATATTATTATAATTATTATTAGATAACGGGTTTTATTGCAAAATCAATGCATGTAGTATGGACTAATTTTTCTTGAAATACGGAATACAAAATTCAAAATGTGTAAACATCGAAAAAACGTGTTAGTTAGCATTGAAAATAACAAAAAAACAAATTGCGTTTTTAATATTATAAATACTAATTTACAGTAATTACAACGAATGACGTAGGTATATAAAACTAGGATTTCTCTTCCGGAACAAAGCAATTAGAAATGACGCTTCGTCACTTTTACATGTCTCCTTATGGGAAACTCTTTTAAATAATAATTCGTTTTCGATTTCACAACTTTCGGCATTTTAAAAATCGGAAATTATACACGTACGATTGTCAACTACCACTTCCTTATTTTATATTTTAAATCGTCCGGCATTAGCAATATCCACAATGGTGTATACAGTACAACGTACAATATTATGCTAGCGTTTCATATTTGGTTATCCCCGAATTAGCTCTAATCTATAGCGGCTAAGCACGTAAATGCCATTTATGCAAAGCAGAATATTTCGGTCGTTGTCAAAAATTACTAATCCTGTCGTTGTATACAAAGCGGCCAGTGTTTGTCGTCGTCAAAAATCAATGACAGAATCAATACAAAATATATTATGTTTATTTATCAAACATGCAAAATCTAATTTGGGCCTATTTCAATTACAATGGCGTATAAACCGTACACATTTTTTATCAAATTAAAAACATCTCATTTCAATAAAAATATGTATTTACAATAAAATCCGTTATTGTTATTATTTTAATTTATAATATTATAATTTTTACTGTAGTTCAAATCGTTTTTACGTTGCCCGCAGAGAAATGTTTCGACATTCTTATTAAATTGGATTTGTTTCTCTTTCTCCCACAAATTGTTGAAAACCTCGATAATTTTAATTTCTACCGTAGGCCTTTGAATTGCGTATTATCGAGAGTTTATACGGTGAATAAATTAACATTATATTGCACCGCAGTATAATTTGTATACAATAAAATACGATGTACGAGATAAGCAAACAAATTAAACATTATATATCATTTCGCCGCGTTTGTTTTGTTTTGTGCTTGGTGTTTTTTTTTTTTTTTTTTTACCGGTCATCCAATTGCGTTTGACAGCGGGTTCAATCGGAGTGGGTACAAATAATATTATTCGCGAATCAAATAAAATATCTTCCGGTCATTCCCATGGGAGGGGAGAGGAACGTAAAAAAAAAAAAAAACTCAGTGACGGTGGTTTTTATTCGTCCGTAAAATCAAAACCAATATTTTGATATTTTTAAATTCGCAACAACACGGCAGCGGTGAAAGTGATCATGCGAAAATTTACCGTCGCGTTATTGTACAGAGGCGGAAGGCGATCGTCCCTTTCACTGAACTCTTCCCCACCCCCCACCCCTTTGAGACGCGTCTAAGTCCTATACACATATATGTGTACTGACACGGGGAACAGAGCAACAGCGAATATTATCGATACGTAGTTATTCTCACCGATATCACGTTGCTGTGTACAAAAACAGTGCAGAGATGACTATACACAAGAATACCATAGTTTATTAAACAAATTATTAACACATCTTTTACTATTAATTATCGTTTTTTAGACTATCCTTCGGTGTAATTATGTACACAAAGCGGTTATCGAAGCGAGCTCACCAGAATTATTTAATGCATAAATAATGCGTACTTATTCAAATTCTGTTGTATTTTTTTTTTTTTTGGAATTTGTATAATATAATAAAGATTGTTCTCTCTAATACTGCGATTTTTTTCATATCATTTCAGGGATAGCTGACATTTTTGACATTTCGATAAGTCAGAATTTGAATAAAAATCGTTTAGTAACATTTCCCCGTATTATATATATTTTTTTTTTTTGTGTTCATAATCTGGAAAGAACAACCTGTCCTAATATACATGATGATGAATTTGAATAATTCCTAAACTGTTTTTTTTTTCTTCGAATTTAGAATTCAAAAACTTTACATAAATAAAATATTCCAGTAAAATCGGCCGGAAAATATTACTTACTAAAAAAAAAAAAAAAGTGGTGTCATACGAAAAACAAAATTGATTCTATTATAATATATAATACGTCACTCTTGGAACAATATAATGTGTCCAAATATCTTGTGGACTTAATAATATGTACATATTATTTACGTTTTCTGAAAAACAAAATTTGAATAAATCCATTATCTAAGCATAAAATTAGAGTAACACACTTAAAAAAACAAACGGCCATACTTCATACGATAGACAGGCCACTGTTGTATAGATGAGAAGTGGGAAAAGTAACGAGAAAAGTTAATGTATATATGTACGTAAAGATTAATCAGTGCTGACGAAAACGATTCTAAACGAATTTCAGTTATACAGATTTCATAATATTTACGATTTAAAAATAATACATTTCGTACATTTTCCCGTTTTTCCAATTTTTTATGAAAACTCCTGGATAAATCAAAAAATAACATCCTTAAAGTACTGCTCCGGTTAGATTTCTTTTTAGAAAAATTGCTACACTTGAAAACGGGAGCGAAATTTCTGGTAGATAAATTGTTCACAGAAAAAAAAAACATGATTGTAAAAACAATACATTCCTCGATCCGTTCAAAAGTACAAAAAGTGCAAATACATCGGAAATTGATGATATTTAAAAATGTGATTGTCCCGCTTCCCGCGTTGCCCGTGTTAGTTTTTCATTTTTTTAAACTCTATTTCCGTTTTGCTTTGTCCGTATCAATTTATTGAACAAAAATAAAAAAAAAAAAGACGGAAAGTGGGTAGTTCGCGGACTAAAAGTGTTCTGGTATACCATACATTTTATCATTCGTATTACCATAGATACTCGCACAACAGAGAAATTAAACTATAAAGCCGCGATTCGTAACAACCCTAAAATTATGAGGACATAATAGTAGTGTTGTTACTGTACCAAAAAACACAAAGATTCGGAAATGACGTTTTACATGTTTTCATTTTTCACTTACCCACCCAGTATAGGGCATAGTTTTTTGTTTTGTTTTTTCATTTATGGTACAGAGGTAGCCCATCCTATTTCAAGCCGAAAATAGACCGGCAGATAGACTGTTTCTATTAAGTTGTTATAATTGTTATAGCTTTTTTATTTCTGTTTATTTTTTTATTTTTTTTTTCCATTTCATCCGTGTTACTATAATTTAACAAAAATAATTTAATTTTCGTGGCAAGAATACCTAATTACCATTCATCCCCTGTTTCGTCTCCTTCAAGTTTTATTTTCGCGATAAAAAGGAGCTTATGTTTTCTCCAAGGTCACGTCTATCTCTGTACCAAAATTCATCAAAATCCGTTCAGTAGTTTTGGCGTGAAAGAGTAACAAACATTCATCTATGGATCCTCACAAACTTTCAAATTTTTAATTAAAATGAGTAAAAATCCCTTCGAAATAATCGAATATAATTAAATTGAAATGTAAAACCATTGAAGCCCGCCATTAATTTTCATACCAGTCGTCTAGATTTTCTATCGGGTCAAAAAAATAGTAAACAAATACCAAAAACTACAATACATAAACCCTGGTTATAACTTCATAGTTCATACTAGAATAAAGTAATCTAACTTTTCTCAAACAATAACTATGCCCGAGGAAAATGTATACTTAAAAGAAATTATTATACTAATCATTTTCAAAGATAACGGCCGTCCGATTAGAATGCACCAATCCCTTAAGTAACGGTATTTACACTTAACGAAAACGATTCTAACAGGAGATTTTTGTTTTTACTAAAAAGCGGTTTATTGGAAATAACTGGAGAATTTGAAATATCATCTTTTTAAATACTATCCAAATTCTGTGTTTTGTTCATAGAATATGATCCTACATGACAAATTTAGTATATTATGTGCCCCGAAAAGTGTTGGCAAACAAAAAAAGAAATCACGTCACTGCAGCAGAAAATGAATAAAGTTTCCACTCGCCCTCTCTCTCTCTTTCTCTCTCTCTCTCTCTCTCTCTCTCTCTAAAAATAAAATTCTTAATACAAGATTCTAAAATTGAATTCACGTCCAATGACTAATATTATTCTGCAAGAAGATGGAAGGAAAGATTTTATTTCGATTACCTAGTTTTCGTTAATTCAATGCAAGTCGTTCGGCAAATGTTTTGTCGGAAATTATAATATTAACAATAATTATTGTCATTACGATCGCGACACCTAGGTAAAGAAATAATGTATTTTCTTTTGAACGTCAATCCGAAATCTAACAGGAAACATCAACGGTTTTTGAATGCAGTTTTAATTTCTGTCCGGGTTATTATTATAATCATTTGATCATAATAAAAAAGTCCGCGCGTTGTTGAAATTCACCGCATAGCAGAAAACTTTTGCTGCAAACATTACTACGCGTAGTAAAACATATATGGGTATATTCGACTCAAACGGGAAGATATATTGTTGCGAGAGCCAAACATAACATAATTCACGCGGGCTCCCTTTTGAGAAAAGTTATTCGGAAAACTAATTTCTATGTTTGGAAACAACCCACGAAAGCTTCGATTTAATCTGGTTTTGTCATTAGAGAAGTATCCAAGTATCCCGGTAGTGTATGGGTACCACCTATATATTATATATATATACTTTAGTGAGAACGTATAGCTTTCTGCAGCCGGGATCAACACAACGCGCAGGTAATTTCGGATTTTGGATGAAATAGTTTGTCTACAGTATGAATAGTTCGGTAGGTCCCGTTAGAATTTATACCGGTTTAGCTTCGGCGAGAAATCGAAATTCGAAAAATTTATCGATAGGTATACATGTATATATATTGTGTGGTGTACTCGTGTGAAATTATCAAAATAATATTATTCACTTTTGACGTTATGTTTACAGGAATGGGTGGACTACAATATGAGGTGGAACATTTCCGAACACGGAGGCGTTAAAGATCTCAGGCTCAATCCAAACAGACTGTGGAAGCCCGATATACTCATGTACAACAGGTTAGAATAATCAATATCGGTTTTTTTTTTTTTTTTTTACATATATATATATATATACCTATAAGTATTAAAATTATGTTAGTCAAACGAATACTTATATAATCAGCTTTTTTAGACGCGTGGTAAAACATTTGGTGAATTTTTAATAACTATTTATAGGCATTTGACACTTTCGAGTTTTTAAATTTTCATTTGGTTTTGTGTGGATAAAATTGTTTTGACCTAACCGAAATGCGCTAGATAATGCAATTATTAAGAAATTAAAAAATAGACTTCAGCTGTCTAAAAAATAATATTGAACGTAATGTAGTAGTTTTTTTTTTTATAAGCGTTTGAAGTTCCATTTTGACCGTAAAAATTAAAAAATAATAAAGCAAAAACAAAATTGTTAGAATAGTAAATACTCGTAAATAAATAAATAAATAAAAATGTACGTATAGAAATAAAAAATTAATTAATTAATGAATGCGTCGCCTGGAGTATTAAAATTACGACATTTCTAAACATGTACAGCCGAACTTCGCGTTTTCATTGTTTCACACATTTTATAACTTTATATTATACATCCTATCTTTATAAATTCTCGCCCATAACAGTGACACGCCTATCAGTAGTATCAGCTTTTTTTTTTATTATTATCAGTTTAATAAGAATAAAGGTTAACATAATATTATGTAAATCAGATTTATCGATTTTTTTTTTTTTTTTTTTATTAAGTATTTCGTCCTGTAAAAACCAACGGGTGTTTACCGTTCGTAAATCCAAATCCAATTTTCTAATTTCGGAATAACACCTAAAACGAAATATTACTTGATCCGTATACGCTCTAGAAAAATTGAAATTTGTTTGTCAAGGTTCCGAAAAACTCACACGGGTTAATTATAATGCTAATGAGCTGTACGTACGTTTTTTATATTTTTATTGACTGTGTATACAAAGTAAATGCTTAGTCTAATATTATTGCAGTTAAGCGAAAAGGATATAATAAAATAATTATGTATTAGTATGCAGCAGTCTAACTGTCTGTACCATATTTGCTCGAAGTAATTTGTTAATTTTCATTTAAATAATATTATCGCATAATTAAAAAAATTAAAAAAAAAAACAGTCTCCGTAGTAGCGATAATAACCATTGTGTTAGTACCACCGATGTAGCCATAGTAAAGTACGTTTACATTTCGTTCAATATATTTTCGTGTCGTAGATTATAAACGATTTTTAATGATTTCATTGTTTAAGGGCAATAACATATTTATATATATATATGAATGTTCGCCTATAGGTTTCTTATGCCTTCCTAAACCGTTCATCCGATCGCCGTGAAACTTTGGGAAGTTGTTGAGTGCAGTTCCGTGAATGTTTCTGGCATAGTACATCTATGAAATTCTTCGATAACTCCACTATCACCCACTAAAACCGGGATTTAGGTACTTTCGGTACGAAGATAAAATGATTTGTTTTATTTATTGGTTACCTTGGTCAATATACGAATGCTGGGATATATTGGGTTGTCATGGGCAAATTTGTATTATGTCTACGGTACGTATTCCATGAGTGTGTGTGTGTGTGTGTGTGTATAGGTAACTACGTATGTTTTTGTCGTGATTGTAAAAAAAAAAAAAAAACGTTTAATTTTCCGACAGAGAAATCAATACTGTGTACAGACTTCAGTTCATGGGTGATATAGGATATGCGTAAAACATACATATCTTCTTTGCGAATACTGCATCGTCGACAATTATACACCCCAAACGGAAATCGATTGAACGATCTACATCTTGGGCACGAAAGAAATAGGCATTACTCGTAGGCGTTTCCCGTTGCTCGAAACGGAAAGCAAGATTAGAAAAGGAATAGAATAGATAAAAAAAAAAAAATTGAATTAAATAATTGGCATTTGGCATATTATGTATACTATACATTTATAAGATGTTCTGCCCGGTGCGCGGCGTTGTCACTACTAATATTTATTTTTTTATTTTTTTTTTACATAATAGTGCCGTTTTCAAATCCGGGATAGTCATCCAATCGTTATATGTGTGTTTTTTTTTTTTTTTTAATAATTCGCAGTATATCGTGGAGATGGTTTTAAACTATTGAAAACATAGACCAGTCTGACCAGTAGAAGTAATAGACGAAAAATTATCAGACATTTTCCACTGCTTAGCAACCATATAGCTAATTCATATAAGTTTGAAAATAAAAATGGAAAAATTACATTTTTAAATCTTTGAGGGCAACGACGGTTAACTGCAGTAATAGTGACGGAGACTGGCACAAGAAATCTGAGGGCAAACCGTTTTTATTGCACTCTATTTGGCACCGTTAACGTCGGGCGGAACAGCTAGTTTATAATATAACTAAAATAAAATATTATAAAATGAAAATGAATCATACGTTAACGATATTGTACAATAAAACTGTTAACAACTAAGTAAACTTCGCACATATAACTAGATTACAATTTACAGTTGATTTTTCGGGAACGTTTTTACGTTCACAATATCGCCAATATCCATTAATGTTTTTGTGTATAAATTAATGAACTTCCGAACTCCAGTAACTCGATGTAAACACTATAATGAACTAACCCAAAATTACTCATACATAGAGAGAAATATGCATAATGTATATATTTAATATTTACATTTTATTAATGTATTCATATGCATACATATGCATACCGTTAATGGCAACAACTTCATATTTTTAGACTAAATTAAATGCTACATCAAAACTACTATCATATATTGTTATCCAAAATATCGCTTTTAAAACATTCTGAACTCTACGTATAATTTTTGTAAAAGAAAAACTATATTTTCCTAATGTGCCTACGTAAGATCTACGACGAAATGGCTTATGCGACGAGATAAAAAATATACCAAAGGAAGTTTCTGTGGATGATGACATTCAAACCGAGTATATAGTGCGGTAGAGAAATCGATAGAGAATGTGGCTAAGTACAGTGATTTACTTACACTGTCCTCGAGGCGTTACATTAATGATGTGGCTTTTGTCCGTAAAACAATTTACAGAATTATTTAATCCCTCGAGTGTTAAGCAAATAATAAGAGCGTTTAATTCCAGTTTGAAGTAATCAATGATCACGTCGTTTTTATCGAAATTTAGGTCACACATTATACGCATAGATACCCGCCTATATTATAATATAGTTATTTTATTTCTATTTTTTTCCATTTCTATACTTCACTTTCAAAGTGTATTTTGAATATTTCGACGGATACTAGTGTGTTCTTTCTATTTTTATTCAACTCATTTGGAAATATATGATAACGATCGTGTACAGAATACGAGGAGAAAAAAACCGTGCGAGATAAAAGTTATGGTTGGCATACGTCAAATGATCCCGATTGAAAAGTACAATTACCGGTTTCGAAAGAAAAGTTTGATAAAAGTAAAACAGTACAATTAAAAACGAGAACGAAACAATAAACTATTGACGAGACGAACACATTAGGATATGGAGAGCGGAGTGATTCCGACGGTAGAGAAGAGAATTTCGGATCGTGGTTGACGATAATAATACGAGTTTTACAACTCCCGGAGTCGCGAGTTGATGGATCATTGTTTGCGGAGTAATAATAATAAATAATATGATTTATAGTCGGATCGTGTTTTCGGGCCGAATGCGTGTCACGGAAGGTGTAGGTACTTAAAATTGGGTTACTGTTGATCCGCGGTAAACATTTACCCTAGATACAGGTGCCGTGCGGTTGTCTCGACGTCGCCGTAAATACCGTACGAGGTAATTATGTCAACGCAAAAATGACGCGCGTGTCCGAAAACTCGAGTGTAATAACAACGAAATGAATACGATTTCCCCGCGCCTATCGCGTTTAACGATAGTTTTCGAACTGTGAACATGCGAGTACATATAACATTCAATGAGCCGTTTAAGGCATTTGAATTTGTCTACAAATCGAATTACCGCTGTTAAACGGCGATCAATTCAAATCGTATGATAGAGTATTCTAGAACAGAAGATAAGACCGTGAGATCGTATAGGTTATGGATTACTGCTGCGGCATATCGGTTATTGTGTCAGTATTGTTTCGTAATGTTGCACAGTTCCGATTCAAAAATAACCGTACAGAGTAACCGCGAGTGAATAAATTTAAAATCGTTACCCCGCTATCTGTTATTTTTTTATTTCGTAAAACCATACGATTGTTTGCTCGTTTTCGCGCGGGCGGCGTACAGGCGTACATATCACTATCCGACCCCGGATTTTCAAATTTCAATTTCGGACGGTCAAACTTGAATTTTGGACTTTGAACAGGAATATTGATTTATTTTTTATTATCATTGTTATTGTCATTAATTTCTTAATTCCCTCAGTTACGTCGATAAAAAACAAATGGAAAAAATGTAACAATTGTCACGGGCAACGCTATTATTAGCCGGTTTCTTGTAACTCCGCTGCGCGCGAATCTCGTGGACCACACGTAAAATACAAACGTGGTCCGCAATAGGTAAAAGCCGAAAATACGGCCAGACAATAGGAGTATTCGATCAATATTGTCCACGGAACGTACATGAAACTACTAATATTGTTGCGGTTTTTCTTGATGTTGTGCGTTACGATTAATGTTTCGAACGAACATGATATTTCAACACAGACATACAAGCGTAGTACAGTATTTTATACATATACCCACTTGTGTTTTGTAAAATTACAGTGCAGACGAGAAATTCGACGGAACTTATCAAACAAACGTGGTAGTGCGACACAACGGAACGTGTCTATATGTACCACCGGGTATTTTCAAAAGTACGTGTAAAATCGATATCACCTGGTTCCCGTTCGACGACCAAAACTGTGAAATGAAGTTCGGCAGTTGGACCTACAACGGTTTCCAGGTAACGTGAACATTTTTCATTGGATGTTTTATAATTTTTTAAACAATATACATTTTATAATAATTCGGTAAATGCGTAAATACTGTCCGTTACGGTTTTATACAAATATAAATTTATTTCGATTTATAATTACTTTCATATTATGCGCAAATACTTGTAGTATTCCTCAAAATGTTTCTGGGGGAGGTGGCGGTTCGCAAAATATCTTTCTAGGCGGACAAGTCAACAATGATGGCCTGTTTTTTTCGTATACCAACACGTTCGATTTTTAACGCGGTCCCGAAAACACACAGGCGGAGGAAAAACGTCCGCGATAGTATACCCGAAATTAATTATATAAATACACGTCAGTGCAACTTCACTATCGAAAATCGATTGCTGTAGAGAAGTGTATAGAAATAAAATGGCCGTCATAAGGTGGAATCAACCAAATTTGAGGAATTTACCGCGGGAATTTAAGTTTATTATGAATCATTATTTAGTATTACTGTTCATAAAATAAAATCGTATTCCCCGATATGTATGCATTTTTAGATTTTGAGTGTAGCGAAAATTATTTTATTGGTTTTATAAAGATGTTTAATTTTTCTTTTTCTTTTTTTTTATGCCAACACTTTTTCTGCCAGTAAATCCTTTTCTGAAAAGAAATTTTCTTGGGATGGTACTTTAATGAGACCATTTTTCAATTTTCTCAGGAGTTTTCTTATCATTTGTGAAAAATCGAAAAAATACGGAGGAAAAACGGGAAAATGTACGCAACATATTAGTAAAATATTACATTTTTTTTTTTTTTTTTGTAAATAACTTTTCTATCGGCAATTTTGCTCAGATTTACAATGATAACACGTTTTCTGAAAGAAAATCCGACTGGAAAGGTGCTTCGGGGCGGTCATTTTTCGATTTTCCCAAGAGTTTTTCCGGCAAATCAGGAAGCCGGGAAAAACACGGGAAAACCGGGAAAAACGTAGGAAAAATGGGAAAATAGGTAAAATATTGAAAAATTACAGAAAATATATAATACCTATTTAATTATTTTGCCGTAAAATGACATAAATTTATCGTTGACCAAGCATCACTATCAACTGAACTCCGATCAGAATCGTTTTTTCGTTCGCAATGGTTTATCGTTGCTTAAAGATATACATTGAATTCCCTTCTGTATCCTACCGTCCTAACTTTCCACCAACAGTGGCTGCAACCACGTACGAAATATGTCCGTCTTTTTTTTATATATATATATATATTGGAAATCTCAGCAGCCGGATGTATAATTAATTATGCTATTGCTGTTATTTTACACACCTATATTATAATATAGATATTTAATTTATTGTAGTTTGATAAATAATTGTTTTGTGGACGACGGATAAGACTAATGATTAACATTTATACAAAATCAACGGTTTAAAAAATATTATGATATCACGATAATTGTTCTCTTTTCGTGTTTATAATTAATGATAACTGTGGGCAGTTCGCGAAAACCGTTCCGATTGATTCCGCCTTATACGACGGCCATTTTGTTTCTATACCATTATCTGAAATCGATTTTCGATAGTGACGTTGCACTGCCGCGTATTATCATTGCCCCGGTATACCTATTATATTATAATATCGTTATGTACAGGTATTAAATTAAAATAGTCTCTACGGCACGTTACGCTATCGTATGTTTGCGTTGCATAATAATACGTTTATGGGTACCTATAGTCAAAGTGGATAATATTATTTTCAATTGAGCATGTATATCAAAAAAAAAAAAAATAATAATAATAATAATAATAATAAAAAATAGGATTAACGTCTGAAAAATGTATTTCGAAATATAAAACAAAATTGTTTATATTAATTAAAAAGTGCCTTCTGAGCTTTTATACGGGAAAAGGGTCATTATAACTTGTTAAAACTTATCATTATTATTATATATATATATATATATGTATATATTTTTTTCTTTTATATTATCAATGAATTTGCATTTTTATTATACTTTCGTGTTTCATACATATATATCAGGGTGTATCATTTTTTTTTTTTTTTTTTTACGCGTACATTTAATGTACCTTTTTATAATTATTATAATTATTAGGTACCTACGTTATAAAAACTGTTTAAAATAAAAAAAATTGTATTAAAATGTAATGAATAGATTGTAATCTCGCCGACTCACTAAGATTACGTATGCGTTTTACAAGGTAAATTAATATTTTATAACATTACAATATTATATTATAATCATTCTCGTTTTTTTTTTTTTTTTTTATTAGGGAACTTAACGGTACAATAATAATATATCGTACATTATATTATTGTTCTCATATTCACTGAAAACGATTACGTTTTAGTTTTGTACAAATAAAAAATTATATTTTACGATTTTTTTTTTTGGTATTTCAATTGAAAATTTAGATTACATTTTAAGATTCCGAGTGTGGTGAAAAAGTTCTTAATTTTACTTAGATGGGTTTTTTCTCCCTCAAAAAACACTTTTTCGTTTTTTCGTTTATTAAAAATGGTTCTTAAATCTTAAATGATGCGGATTTGTCGCCCGGCCGTATTTTATTTGAAACGTTTTTCTAGTTGCTAAATAGTTTTTCTTAAAAACTGTATAAGAAACCGTCGATAAATAACGAGATATTGATTTTATTTTTGTTGATTTCTGATGGTCACCTCGGCTATAAAGGGGAAAAAACATCAATAAATAAACTCTGCACCAGTTTACCGAGCGCGGTTCAGAATCGTTTTTTTTTTTTTTTAATAAATTGTGATGATTTGTTGTTGCTTTGAGTATACAAACTGAAACAGGTACCGAATTATCCTACTGCATCGCATTATGTTAAATATATTTTTCAATTTTGAACTCTCCCCGTATTAAACTTAAAAATTTGAGTTTTAAATGTAAATGAATTCAAGTAATAGATATAGATAGATTTTTACAGTACCCAATTAATCAGATAATAAAATTTCCAAGTGTGCGTATAAACATTTCGAAAAAAAAAAAAGCAATTAATATCACACCAAACAACTGGGTTAATGATTTTTATATTTTTCGGTTGAATGGATACGGAAAAAAAAAATAATAATAATTATAGGTACCCATAAATATCGGTGTAAAGGTACAAACGGTGGAATACATTTTATGATCAGGACATTTGAGCCCGAAAAGCGGTCAAATGTGCACTGGGGTTTCTACGGCGAAACAGCAATTGAATTATCTACGATTATTTTGCAAACGCTTAGTTTTAGTAGAATCGTTTAATATCCTATACAATATAAAAGTTTGATTCGAATACTTTATAATATTCAGATTTCACAAAATAAAATTGCTCTATAATTCTCTGATAAACATGAATGCCTGACATTATATTATAACGTCGGGCGTTTATAAGTTTATGAGTTTAAAGTTTACATGCAATTAAAAATTTAGAAGACGAAAATTCGCAATCTCAAGACAAAAAAATACGGACGTTATTGCTTCTCGCATTTAATTAAGTAACGATACAAATTAAAATAAACAAAAACCAAAATCTGACGGATGCGAAGGGTTGAGTCACTTCTGTAGGTGGGAAGGTAGGATGTATAGGGTAATTTAATGTATATCCGTACGAAACGATTAATTAGGCGTTGCCAACGAAAATCGATTCTGAATTGCCATGCCCTGATTTGGAATAACTGAAATTGTAAACTACTCGTAGGACCAAAAGTGTTTACACGGACCGGACAAAAACACTGAACAGCGTTTCGAGTATAAAATCGTGACGTTCACTTATTCGATAAGAATCTAGAAAAATAAATAAGGCGGGGCAAAAAAAACCCCATTCAATGGCTAAACAATTGATTTCGTATTTTTTTTTTTTATCTAATATATTGCTAATATGATTTCGATTAAACCGCCGAATCGAAACAAGCTGAAAAACACCATACCAAATGACGTTAATTTATGTTTATTATACAAAAATAATAGCCTACTTTTAAACGTTTAATTAATACTGTATTTTTATTCAGCGTCGTTTTTTTTTTTAAATTAAGATTATTTCATTTTTAATTTTTGCGCAGCTTAATGATAATCATAATATAATTAAAATCGAAACTGTATAGTCTCGAGGAAATCCGCTCTGTGAATATTATTTCGTTTTTCTGAAACAAACGGAAACGTCATTTTTCGTTAGGTATTAGTATACCACTGATACTCACGATGTTCGACGTGACATCAATACAGTGACAATTTCAGTGATTTATACCTTACCTAAACAGAATAGATTAGATAAAACGAGCATAAGGCGTGCGCCGCTGTAATCTTACTTGTATCTGATGATTCTGATGTCGGGTGACGCGGTACTTGATGGACTCGAATATGATTGCACATTATTCTTTGTTATCGAGTTTGACGGAATTTTTTTTTGAATTCACCTTTTCGAAAACGTATTATACGGAGCGATCCGTTTATCACGAAGCAACAATTATGTCTATACACGATGATTTTGAGCGAAATTCGATTCCCCCTCCCCCTCCCAGATATTATAATATTACAGAACCGTTTGATGATCTAATATGTATTTAAATTTTCAGTCCTTTTTTTTTTTAGACATTTTACCTTATAATATTGTACATACACATATATTCTAGAAACATTAAACACATACATTTCTTTTTTTTGATTTTCAAATTTTGGATGGCATTCAGTAAAAACTAACTAAGGGTTATATTTGAAAATGTAAACTTTTAAAAAAATAAAAGTCCCACATACTTGGCCACTATTCAAATGAGAAGTTAAGAAAATAGAACAAACTAGTTCACTTGTGTGTACACAAAAATAAATAATCGACAACGAAATACGATCCTGGGCGAAGTTTGTTTAAATAAGTTTTAATACATTTAAATTGGAAACATTGGCTAGTTACCTACAGTATAAATTAGTATTGTTCGTGTAAATTTGAAATCAATACGCTTACAAAAATAAATTACAAAAAAAATAATATTTTTATTGACATAAAACAAAACAAAAATACAACTTTTTAAATACCTATAAATAATCACCTGGTATAGGTATACAGGGTGATTTATCGTTTATTTGTAAGGTTATGGTGGGTCAAAAAAACCTTTTTTTTTTTCTCGAGCGTATCTTTATATGATATATTATGGTTTGTATGGGTGTAACAATACGCTCGAATCTTATTTCACCTAAAAAAAAATGCCTAATTTGAGCAGTAATTTTAGGTGAATAATGCAATTTGTGTGCATTTTATTTATTTTTACAATTCAAATAATAGCTGAATCACAATACGACATGAAGGTAAATAATCATCAAAATGTAATAAAGAACAATTAATAAGATCCCAATTTCATACGGAGAAAATCAATATTGACAAATTTATTAGCCGGAAAACGTACGAAATTAAAAATTGTTGATAAATCGTCAACTTGAAATATTGTTCTTGGACAAATTTTTGTGTACGCAATCTTTCGCGTTTTGCGGCCAACAGCTTTGTCAATATTGATTTTCTTCTCATCGACTATATGACCTTGTTTGTCCCTCGTTACGTTCTGACGATTTATCTTCGTAGAATTTTTTGTTCGGCAATCATTTTAAACGTAAAAACATACTTCCAATTTTCGTTATTCGCCCAAAATCGCTGCTCACAAACTGGAAATGTTTTATTATTGTTTTTTTTTTTTTTCGTCCGCCGTAGTATTATACCCAGTGGCACCGAACACTACGTTAAGGTCAGGCCCGACTCTTTTTTGAAAACGTTGCATAGGCCCGCTTCATTTTGGGGGAAAATTTCGGTTGCCGCACCGAATGAATTCACTTCATCAAAACAGAAATAAAAACCAGTTATTTGGGAACCACTCGAAATGCACGTCGCCCGATTACATTTTTAAAGACTTTGGCGCCACTAATTGCACATTATAATAATCGTTACACTATTATAATTACAATCGTTGTTATCGTTATTATATTCGTCCACTGTCGGCGTGTAATATACGCAGTGCGAACGGACCGTATATATATATAATAGATTAATAACTTCAATAGCGGTTTGTCAACCGCACATTTTCTTAGCGTGCGTCTGTTTTAGAAAAGTAATAATTGTGGCTTATAATACGTCAGAATAATAAATGACAAGAATGATTATGACACCCGCGTCGTTAAATTGTATTTAGTCGTCGTCGCCGAATTTCAGTCAAAGCTCAACGGCTAATAAGCCGGGGATATTAGCGACGTCGCTGTCGCGTCGACTGCGACTGTCCCTGATACTTTATGATTTATTAACAATAAGAGTTTTTTTTTTTTTTTTTTTTTTGTTCTTAATACGAAAACTACGGATTTACGGATTTTTACTGTATTTATTTTTTCTTTCTACCTGTACGTATACAATTATGACGACTAATTAATATTGGCGTTTTGTTATTTGCTTTTTCAGTTGGATTTAGTGCTCAAATCGGACGGCGGAGATCTATCGGACTTCACGACCAACGGTGAATGGTATCTTTTAGGTAAATATCCGTCGATTTAATCATTTCGATATTAACATTGATTGTACAATATAATAATTATCAATGATATTATTAGGCGACTGATTCCGGGGGGCTTCGCTTCGAGTGGGTCAGATTTCGAAGCTGGTAAAAAAAGTCAGGTGCAAAGTCAAGTATAACGCGTAATACGAAATTACGGTATTATCAGGGATACGCACGAATTCTTCCGGGGTAATAAGAAAAAAAAATAAAACCACCGACAAATCGGCCAAAAACTATAACAACTTCGAAACATTAAAAATCTCGTCCAAACTAAAATATTCCGAGGTAGTTAATGTCCTAAATGTAATCCTAAAACTTAAAACCATGTAAATAATGGTAAGTGTAAATGGCAAAAGCTATGTCGGGTAGGGTAAATTATAAGCATAAAAGTCAATAATTTTATCTATATCGTGGTCCAAATGGTCATTCATTCAATCAGTTGATTCATTGACATTAAATTCTTACCGATAGTAAATTCAAATTGTCAATCTTCCTAAAACTATCGATATACGACGTAATTTGTATAAAAAATCAATACCCAGATATGCATTGGGCCCTTTTTGTTGATTTTTAATCTTTGAAGACAACACGCTGTTGCTAATATCAAGATAGATGACCACTACGCGAATCTATAACAAAGTATAATCGTCATCGTCGTCCAATGTTACCGAATCAATAGTAATCGTAATAGACGCTATTTTTTTTTTTTGAAAAATGACTGAACGTTGATTTGTAATACTAAACTCTATCTAAATTACTGATTTCGTTTCAAATAATAATCTTCAATTTGGTTTAATATTTCAGTATTCAATGTGGTCCGAAGTGTAAACTAATAATTACAAGGCGCAACAGGCAGCAAAAATACACGCATGCTGTTCGTGTTATTATTTTTATTACAATTTTCTCTCGCTGGAATTCGTTTAAATTCGTTTGATTCTATTTCACACTCTACGAGAGAAAAAAGAATAAATCAATATAAAGATGTTAAAGTGATGAACGCGGTAATACATTTATTTTCACGGCTTTACGTGACCTTATAAAAACGATGAAAATCATATGGAATATTAAGAAAATCGAAATTATACGTTTGCCGTAGAATTTTCGTTAAACGGAAACACGACAATCCATCATTTCTCTCTCGAGTTTGGTTGAAAAAGGTTAAAATATGATATTAAAAATATCCAAGAGCGAGTATACGTTTAACATCTCAAAACGGTATTTTATAATTCGTATTATCCATAAACGTTAAAATACAATTAATGAACGGAATTATATGCACTTAAAATCCGCGGAAAAATATTTAAATAAGCAAAATTTGGTAGAGGGGTTTTAAACTCTATCTTTGATAGTTCTAACCCTATTGAATAGAATTTTCTAACACAAAGTATTATTATTTTTTTTATTTTTTTTCTTAACACGTACAAATTCATTTGAAAGAAATTACTTTGTGATAATCATTTTCGCAATGTTAAAAAATAATTTTTAAGTTAGTACCATTAGAGGGGAGACTTTTAAACCCCTCTTATTGCTATAATAAATATTATTTTTCGGGCTTTTTTTAGCGCTTTTTGTGGATTTTAAGTGCATGTAAATCCGTTCCTAATTATAATACACGAAGGAATAACAGAAAAACAATCTTTTTGGATATTTAAATATTATTCTCGATGAATAGTATCATGTAAGTAGTGAGCGTATAGTAGTGTACATACTGACGGGCCTTATTACTAACGGGCAGTAGGAACCGAATTGGACAGTAGAAAATATCAAAAGTGCAGTAAGCTCCGTGAATGTGGGTATATTTCAGAAAATATAATTTTCCTTATCGTCGAGAGATTGACTATACTCGGAATTGCGTAATTTATAAACCTTTCTTGTACTTAAAGCTGGTTACACACCACGCAATTCGTGCGTCGCATTTTTCTGGAATTAATTCATTATTTCATTGCCGTATTGTTTTTTTTTTTCAATTTCATTTTCTTCGTAAGATTTTTTTTTTTTTTTTGAGGGAGGGGGGGCGTAAGTCCTGAAGGCAACGTGAATTTCATAAAAAAAAAAACTTGTCGGTGTATTTTGGGCAGTAGATAAAAATCCTTAGAATAAGCCCTGCATATACTAACGAAAATAACAACAAGTGCTATCGCATTATAATATCACACTGTACAGATGATTAGTGCCGGCAATTATTTATACAAAGATTTCGATTATATTTACCGATGATATTTTCAAAATTCAACCCTTACTCCATACACCATAAACGTACAAGTATAACAATCGACTTGCGATTTTCAAACAGACGCAGCCTCAGATTCGAAATGAAAATAATGATAATAATCCATTTATCGTGAACCGTTGCGGCGATTATTATTCATACTATTATCTTTTTTTTTGAGACGATTAACTAATAATGCTTCTCTACTCCTCCGGTCTAGAATTTAAACTGTTATCGCTTAAAAACGGTAAATCCGATATTGGATAGTATTATTTGAGATAGACATTTTTTTTTTTATAAAATATTCTCTATTGAATCTGCGTTGAAAAAGAGATTGTCCTGCTAGAAAATCAAAAGTCTATATTCGTACAAGGTATAAGGCAAAGGTCTCCAATCTCTTCTAACTAGTGAGCAATATTCGAACATACAGTCGAACTATGTCATTTGACATTTGTGATTTTTTGCAAGTTTTGAGAATTCTGGCATATAATTAGAAACAGCTGCTCGTAAACTTATATCCAAATTTTTTTTTTTTGTCATTTTTGACCGATATTTGTTCTTCAATTATTTCATACTCGAAAATGTTGACTCACATAGCTAAGTTGAACCGAAAAATTAAGTTATACGAGCAATGTCTATGTCCCGTAGATTTGGGTATGTTAAAGTACTTGCATGCTTCGACAATTTCGAGGTATCATAAGTGCTGAAGATAACAAAAATAATATTTTATCACCCGGTTATTTACAACGCGATCGACCAGTAATGGAAATATTAATTTTTATTACGATCGACATAATATGATATTCCTGGAAAGATCGACCGGTTGATCGCGATCGACTGGTTGCCGACCACTGGACTATAAGGTGTGAGGTGTGACAAATTGAAAATAGTGTTAAACGTTACGGAATCGTTTAAGCTACGATTTCAAAAACGATTGGAAATAAAAAAAACAATTAAAAAAAAACCCAGAAATCGAATTCGTTTAATGAAAACTGCTGATTTGTGATACGTTGATCTACATACATATATCTATGACTCCGACGTAGAGTTTAATGACATTTTAAATGGAAAATATGAAGAAATGAAAAATTTCACTGCTATTATTTTAACGCGCCATCGGTGTATTATGAGATTTGTACTCAAATCGATAAAATGATACGAATTTACATCACGGCATTCGGTGTACATATCAATTAATTACATTAAAAAAAAAACCCCCCATAAAACCCCTTTTTTTGCCACGCGTTTTACGTAAACGGCGCAAATACGTTATTCATATTAATATATATTTTCACGTAAATTATTACTATTACCTATTATTTTTAATTTTTTTTTTTTTTTTTTTTTGTTCAATTCGTTCAATTGTTTCGAGACATTTTTCCGGTGAAGTTCGTCAAAAAATCAATATAATAATACTATTATTTTTAACAGACGTACAGAAAACACGAGCGAACTGCTGACCCGTGTAAAACCTAAACGTCCCAAAAGCTTATAATATACTGGACTCTCGGTGTGCGTCTAAATTTCGTTTAGTTAATATGTTCGGTACTTATCTTTTGTGTACACTCCGCTGAACTTTTATTATTTATGAATAATGGCCTTACGCAAAAACTATCGAGTCTTATATGCGATTATAAAGATGATGATGATGATCGACTTTAATAATATATAATATTTACTCATCTCTGAAAGGATTATAATATTATTATACTTCATTACCGTTTATTCCGTTATTAAAAAAGTTTTACTTTTATGCCTACTTCCGTTACTATAATACGATAATTTTTCAATTTTTTTTTCAAGTCTGCTCCCAATAATTTATTACATTACAAACATCGTGATAGATAATCGCCTATTTTTTATTTTAAAATATTTCACTCGTATCATTTAATGTGTCATGCTTACGTTTTTGTCCGCACATTTTTCGAGCTTTTTCTTTTTTGACAATTTCATTTTGCAGTGAAAACAGTTTTACTTTATTTTAATTTTATTGAGAAATTCATAATATTATCTGATAATATAATAGAAAGCATATAACTGAGTAATAAATATCTTAGCATATTCTAGACGTGGTGTTATTTTCAATTTTTTTTTTCTGTTTTTTACATGGGCGACAATAATGTTGTGATTTATTTTTATCGGCATTTTATGTTAAAATTCGTTAAAAACACAAACGATTATTGTAATTTAGTCGGTAGTTACAAAATAATATATTCATTTTTCAATTTGAAATTTTTCATTGCGTGTTGAATTAAATTCGCATCAGAGCCATTTTTCGATTTCACCGATTTGTCGGATATAAATTAAATGACAACCCTGTGCTTATCTTTCATTCCAAATTTACGATAGCGAATTACCAACGCCGACTTTCTTAAACGCGTTTTATTATTATAATTTGGCGAAATAATTGTGGATATTTCTTTAAGATTACGTAGTTTCCCGTGCCCTTTTTTATCAGTCCGCGCCTAGGCATACCGTCAATACTGTGAACGTGCTGCCAACTTCAATCGGTGAATTGTTGGCAAATTTATGTCGGTAATTTTGCTTTTATAGGTTTACTGGTTTATTTAAATTAAAATTAGGTAAAATCAAACAAAATGCATTCTCTTAACAGTATAATCCGATTACAATATATAGTGCGTCCCACCAAATGTAATGTTAACAGCGCTAGAAAAATCCGTCGAACGTGGTGGGACACAGTGTATTTGTCTTAATATACCAAACATCTCGGATTAATTAGTCAAACACTTTGGCTGCGTGTGTTTATAGGCCTAATTAGAATGTTAACCTAATCATAATAATGTCGTATTTCCAGTTTAACCGAGGATTAACATTAGCCGAAACTTGAATATTCTCTTAACTGACGGCTGATGAAATGAACATAAATAAAAAAATCTATAACAATATTCAGTCAAAAGTCACGTGTCCGTTATGTTATTAATAACATAAAAGATAATATTATACATTTATTTTTTAAATGCATTTGATTACTACTCATCAATCTGATTTAACAAGTATTTGTTTTCTCGTCTTAAGAGTTTCCGTAATTTCGTTTTGAGATTATCGATAAAATGATAAAATATAATTATGAGCACGCCCATACCTAAATACTCGTTATAGTGAGTTCATATTGACTCTTCTAACTTACGAGTTATGAAAAACCGAATTTTTTTTTTGAAATATGTTTTTGATCGGGTTATTGAAAACGCTCATATCTATTGATTTTATATTTCAAAAGTTTTGCAATTTGCGAAGTGGTACGCTGCGGTAGAGCATCATAACTGTCCTCGTATTATAAATCCAGTAGAACAAGTATAGTTAACAAACTTACATATATTTTCTAGTTTGACAAGAAACATAATTTATTACAAATAAATTAAGTAGATTATTCTCGTATATAATAATATAATAGTACGTTCGTAGGTAGACACAGTATCAGTTTTGTTTTTCCCCAATTCATTTTCTTTTAGGTTCTGCAGACTATAATCAATTTACATCTGTTGAATAAATTTTAATAAATTTTAACTAGTGGTGAGCATCGACAGGAGTCGATATTGAATATCGGCCTTTTTTTTTTAAACCTATATCAGACCCGATAAATTTTGAAAAAAAAAAACAGTTTAATAAACACGTCACTCACAAAAGTACTTTTGATGCATAATTTAAAATATGATATCGGTAAAAAATCGGATATCCGATAATTTGAATGTCGGCTTTGGTTTCAAATAAATATCGGATCGGCTATCGCATGTATATGGAAAATAAATCGGTTTATCTGATATCAGAAAAGATTCATATCGGCTCACTTCTAATTTAAACCAGTGGCATGCATGAAAAGAAATTATGGGTTATATTTTTTAGCTTCCAGTTTTAAATTCTCATAGTCCAATTGAGTCGGGAAGATGATCCTACGGTTTATTCGTGATTACTATTTGCTATGCACTGCCTTCAATCGAAAATTCCCGGTTACGCCGCCGATATCATCCAGCATGCCATTGACAATTCAAATTATTTTCACTAAGGACAAATTTACCACTAGTCGATTCACAACTAAAAATTTATTAGGGACCGGAGATTAATAATTTTGATAAACCGTTGCATTCCGTCATAGTATAATAAAGTATAGTATACTACTATACTACAATGAACTACATTACAATAATTTTAAATTTGTACATAAATATAATAAACCAAAACTTCAATTAATTATACTTGTACAGTGTGCCCCACTGATTTTTCTAGCGCTGTAAATATTAAATTTGTGTCGATTCTTCTTTTTTTTTTTTAATCGGTTTGTCTTCGAGAGGGACATCGATTTGGAGAAAAATTTAATTTTCATTTTCATCCCCTAGACACACACACAAAAAAATAAATAGCTTTCCATTTATTAATTTTAAAATATGTTCAAAATAGTCATTTTGTAAAAAACTGTGTTCAAAAAATGTTTACTCATCACACATATTCAAATCCGATGAATAATTTCTTAGTTAAAGGCGTTTTAATTTCTAGAAATAGTCGTGAAAACAATTAATATCGAATATATAAGAATGATATAAGAACCGAGAAAAATTTGATATTAACAGCGCTAGAAAAATCCGTCTAACACGGTGGGACACGCTGTATGTAGACAAATCAATAACTTTATAAAGTAGAAATATTGCATACGTGTCAATATAATCGCTATTCGGTTTATTCGTATCAAGCAACTAAATTGTATAGTTACAAAAATATATCGTTTGCATAGTTTATGATGTATTTAAAGTGTTTAAAAGAAAAATTAAAATCTATATTACTAATCGGTGTTGTAAAAGATTTAATTGTCTATTTTCAATTGTTGCAATATAATTTTGCAAATTAGCGAACTATATATATGTAACCGAAAAACATCAACGTCTTATCCAAATCGCAAATAAACCGCAATAGTTTACAAATTATTGGCGAAACAGTAACTCGGCGAGACCGGGGGTGCTTGTTTGAAGCCTGGGTACGCTAAGCACCCCTTAGCGCTCCCCCCCCGCCCGTGTGCGCCTACGGTACCCGGAACGCGATCGCGTATACTGACTCGAGGGGGTCGCGCGAGGTTTTTCGTAGGCATTTGATATCGCGTCGTCCAGCGGTCACGGCGTGACGCCATACATTTCAAAAAGGCGGGAAACGTATAATGATGTATCGTCCGGGCGTTTTGCCGTGTTATTGTTGCAGGTATGCCGGGCAAAAAGAACCAGATCATGTACGCGTGTTGTCCGGAACCGTACGTGGACATCACGTTTACTATACGGATTAGACGGAGGACGTTGTATTACTTCTTCAACCTGATCGTGCCGTGCGTGCTCATCTCGTCCATGGCCCTCCTGGGCTTTACGCTGCCCCCGGACTGCGGCGAAAAGCTCACGCTCGGTAAGGAACATCGGGACAGTACCGGGGAAAAAAAAAAAAAAAAAAAAAAACACGGACAATTCGAGAGAGAGAGAGAGAGAGAGAGAGAGTGAGAGAAAGAGAGAGAAAGACGGAGAGATACAGAAGAGCCCGAAGCCGCGTAACGTAGGGTGACGAAACGCGGCGATATTATCGTTGTCGCGACGGCGTTACGGAAACTCACGTTTGAAAAGTGCCGATAGAACGAGGCCGAGCGAACGGCGGTATACGCTGCGGCGGCGAAAAACGGCGCGGTGGGAAAGGGCGGAAGGGCGAGGGAATTCCGGAAGAGGATCTCGGGGGGGCCTAATGCACGACCGCGAACCGGTGCAGAAGTTGATGCGGGAACGGGTGTACGCGCGTGCGAAGAAACCCTACGGCGGGCGGTACCGGGGGCGGGTAACGGGCTCGTGTTTATTCCCGCGATAATTATTATCCCCGACACCGGGGTAGTGTTGTACTTTTGACGGACATTGGACGGGCCGCCGCGGCCGCCGTTACCGTGCGCGCCGCCGTAATAATATTGTTCCCGGCACATTCGCCGGCCGTACGTTTCGGTAATATATTTGTTTAGGACTCCGCCGTCAGTCCTTTGCGTTCGCCTTTGCGACCGCCCGCTGCCGCGGTCGCGCATCGATCCGTCGGTAGTCGGTGCACTTACGTTCCCGTCGAACCGCCGTCGATGCCGCCCGCGAAATATCGCGATCGCCCGGAGCCGATATTATTATTATTATTATGACATTAGGGCTGTGAATTTAAAACGGTAAAAACCTTTTGAAAAAATCAGCTGAAAAGAGTCGCGAGTATCTCGGATTTCCCTCCCGCCCGAAAAAAAGAACAGTTCGAAGTGCGCTTGAAACTCCGAAAAATCGCATTAAGACTAAAACGTACAGAATTAAAAAAAAAAAAAAAGAATTACTAAAATCCAATTAAATTCGTAATTTTGAAAATTTAACAGAAAAATGTTATATTATCGGTTTAGTAAAGTTGCGACATTTCTTCAGCGCGTATCGGTAAATCTATACATTTTCTAATCACTGAGTTTTTTTAAGCAATTTATCAACGCCGAAAATGAATTGTGCCATAAACGTGATGAAATCGATCTTTTCCAAAGTTTTTTAACTTTGTAAAATTCCTACACGCCGTTTATTTATACTGTTCATAACATTATATTGGTACCCACACGCGGTCTTTAGAAATATTTACAAATGAAATGTTTTCTAGTGCTTTGTAAGTCTTAGAAAATACGTATACCATATTATACTTATGCTTTTGATCATACACAAGAGCACCCGCAGAAATACGAACCCGGCGGGGGGGAGCCAAAGTTAAAAGTATAAGACTGTTTTTTACAACTTAAAACTTACAAGTAACCATGGCTTAAATATTTAAGCCATGCAAGCAATAAAACAATTAATATTTAATATCAACTAAACTAGCGGGGGGTACATGGCACCACCGGCACCCCTCCGCGAGCGCCCTTTATCATATAGTCAAACATACAAAATACACAGATAGCCCGTGCAATGATAATACTCGGCGATCGTCCACATCCCTTGCACATCTATACGACGCTCATTACCACCCCGGCATCTTAACTACTCTAGCGTTCCATAGCGGCGACGCCTACGGGTGGTCACCAAATTATATTCTATTTAATGGACTTTCTGTGTATTATACAAACGTGCCAATAACAAACACATTTATTTTGAAAAAAAAAATCATGTCTAAGTCATTCAAATACAACGTAAAAACAAATATCCCGAATTGTCGAGGGTCGAAATGACCGGGAGTCCATTTGACTCGAGATCCCGCCTAAATGGCACTATAGATCCGTCTAACGTTGAGTTGAATAAAACGAAATTAAATTTCTACGAATTCACAGCCCTAATTAATAATGATTGTATAATAAATTTAATTTTGATAACCGTCGACCGCGACGATGTGATCTACCAGAAAATGTCCCTTTAAACCAGTGCGATAAATCCAATGATCCATCAATTCAATTGATAAATCATCGTATTAAATATTTTGCTGACTTTTACACATTGCGCGTAAAACGTTTTTTTTTTTTTAAACCTCATTACCTACCCAGTTAAAAAGTCATCGCATAGGTGTTTTTTTTTTTTTGATGAGTTTCACGATGAAAATCGCCATTCTCCAAACCGTTTTCTTGTACAGGAATAATTTCAAGTTCTTATTTATTGTGCAGATACGCAAATATCGTACCACATATTATAGTGTTCATTTTATAAACTCTTTACATGATATAATAATACCTACCTTGTATATGTAGAGATATAAGTTCGTGAAATTTCAAAAGAGCGTATGCCTCGAGAGATCATACGATTTTTAAATAATGCTTGGGTATTGTTATTGATTATAGACCTCTCTCTGTCATTTCTCATATTTTGAAATTATCCGAGACCATAATTATTTCTAGAAACTTGAACTATTATTAATTCTATCCTAATGAAGGAACAACGAAGAGTCCGGCAGCACATTACAAACATTTCGCACGCAAAATAAAACCGGATAGCTTGTTTTTTATCATCCGGTACACATGTATGTTGTTGAACAGTAACTGTTTCAACTGTTGATCTTATCGGCAGAATCCTTCCTATGATGTCTCAGTGATGGGTTACCGCATTAACCATTCGATTAATAAACTCCGATTCGAAAACCATCGTCCGCACCGGAATTAGGTTTGGACAAACGGGTATACCTATTAGATATACCTACTAGGTTAGGTTTTCGGACCGAACGAGGATAATCCGCTTCTTTCTTTGATACGTGCATATCGGGTGTATCAAAACGGGCGTCGGGTTTTATTCTGTGCGCAGAATGGTAATATGCGTTCCGGACAGGTCGATTGACTGTACGACTCGTAACGCAGTTTCTTGTAATTACGTCTATGAAGCGTTTAGCGTTCAGTCTCGAGTAAATGTTATTTACGGGGATTTTTCCAAAGCTTTTGGCCGCATTAATCACCTTGCTCTCGCGGCGGAAAATTCTATAATGTTCAAATTACGTTAGTCATGTTCGAGTGTCTACCGCATGTCTGTACACTAATCCTCGTGTTCTTCGAGTTGGACATATTCGCAAACCGTAGGCGTGCCAACAATCTCGGCTTTTTAGCCAAACTATTACGCGGGCAAATAACCAATTCACCCAACTTTCGACAACGGGGGTTGTCAAATAACAAAAAAATGTTAGATTAAATCCACAAATTTTATTTTAATGAACACGGTTAGCTCAGATATGAAATTCATTTTTTATTCTGGCTTTTTTAATTCTTCACAAATTGAGTTTAAAAATCAATAAACTGACAAGTATTCAAAACGATCGGCATTGGCGGAAATCAAATGTGTCTTACCCGGTTTCCTGTTTAGTGAATTACTACTGTGACTAAAACCACGCTTTATCATGTATCTTAGATTGATAACGTTATTAACACGTTCTTATCAGTATGGTAACCTTAGTACCTGATGTTTGGTAAGACGCATTTAAATTCGTGCCGAAAATGATCTTTTTTAACTAGTTAAATTTTAAAAAAATCATAGCTATTTTTTCAATCAGACAAAACTATAGAATTAGGAAAAAATATTGACAACCCCCATTTCTCGGGAAATTTCCTACCCGTTCTTTCCGTCAGTCGGTTCCCGTTAAATTGTTGTTGTATTTATTGTAAATTGACGAAAATTCTGTATCGCAATTAAACGCTTTGTCCCAAATCATCTCCGACATTTTCTGTAGATCACGCCGTTAATTTGATATTAGTCGCGATCTCGCACGCGTAACGCACAGAAAACAGCGCGTACATTTTAATTACAGTGTTTATAGAATTCCCCCGCGTGGTATCGAAAAATGGGGTCGTTGTTGTTGTATATTATATTCATAAACTATACTATAATATCTCTTTTTTTTTTTTTTAATATGTTCATGTAAAAAATAATTAGATTTAATGTATAGGACGCAACGAAACTGTACCGAAAAATTGTAACGTGTTGGCATCCGCGGTCGTGAAAACATATTTCGTTTATTCCCCAATAAAATAAACTTTGAAACTCGTGCTAAATGTCGGCGTGAACTGTTTTTTTTTTTTTTTTAACCATTGTTTTCAAACAGTTGTTGTTTACGTTTTAAATTTATTAAAACGTAAAATGTCAAATGTGTGTATGTGTGCGCGCGCGTGTGTGTGTGTGTGTGTGTAAAAAAATAACAATAATAATAATACAAATTTTTAAACTATCAAACATCAAATCGGAGTCGTCGACATTAAGTACCAGTTCTCGGGGTTAACTATTTTACATACGACGAATAAATTACGTTTCTACGGCCGTCCAGAGTATAGAATAATATTTATATTGGAAGTAAGTGATCATGTTTTTGAAAAAAAAAAAAATAATAATAATAATACAAATTTGCTTTAACACGCTTATACGCAAATAACGCAACGATCAACAATGGGACTAGGTAATCAAAATGTGTTTAAATATCGATTAATGGATATTTATGGTGTTGTTGTTGTTTTTCGATGTTCCGTTAAAATAGCGTTTGTTCGATCCGTACCGAATTTTTCCGGCCCAATTCCAAACGAATACAATGTTAAAACAAAAACAAACGTCCAACGTCTTTCAAAACGTTACTGTATATTATATAAGTATATGGTTTTTCTAAGACTAGAATTTCGGAATGTATATTTCTCGCGGAATATTATTTGAATTTATAAACGCCTAAGGTAACGGACTAGGCGGAAATAATCAAAGTGTTCAATTTCAGAAATAACTATACTACTGTCACTAACAGTATTTCTCAATCTGGTCGCTGAGTCAATGCCAACTACGTCCGAAGCGGTTCCCCTCATAGGTAGGACTGAGAAAAAAATTTTGTCCAATTTGCATGATGACAAAACGTCATTGTCATTTGGTACTTGGAGGAACCACTTCGTTGGACACGCTTTACTTATACGTTACTATAATGATTCCAACAAAATATTTTATCGATTATTAACGCTATATCGTTTACCATAATATATAGTAACAGTAGGAAAACGATTCTATTAAATTTTAAATAAAACATTGTTTTATATCATAAAAAAAATTGTGCCCAAATGTGTTTTTCTAGGTCATAAAAATAAATTGGTTGTTACAGGAGTGACCATCTTGCTATCACTGACAGTGTTCCTGAATCTGGTGGCGGAAACGCTTCCACAAGTCTCCGACGCGATACCCTTGCTAGGTACCAAAAACACCCTATTCCTCCCAAATAAAAATCAATTATTGTGACAGTTTAGTGATGTTTACGATATATTTTATTTTATTTTTCTATTTATATTTTGAATAGAATATAATATTTTTTTTTTTTTTACCATTTGAATGAACAAAATAATATAATAGAAATCGTACAAAAATAAACCATATACAATATATTATCGCAATTGCATTTAATGGCCGGGTAAAAAAAACTATAATATTATTACAAAATGATCGATCAATTCCATAGTTTTCGTTTCGTCTTTCGACTGTAGTATCATAACACAGTTTGTCAAGATAGGAATAAAAGAGTTTAAAAATATTTTTAAAAACTAAGTAACGATTAAAAACTCTAATGAAACTCTAATGAGACGTTTAATTTTATAATACCATACATAAATTAAGTACTATTATTGTCAAATCGGTACAAAATAATTATTCTGGGTAACGTTCCAGAATAATTGTGTCGTTAAAATCCATGATAGTATTAAGAGGACGTCGAATGCGCATTATCTCTCCACCCCTGTCGATCTAACGGGCAATATAGCACAAATCGTTTTTCTTACTTCCGACAGTACACGAGTCTCGTTGGTCGTATATAAACTTGATTTTGATAATAAAATAAATATTAGCAACAATTTTACTATATGTCTATAAAATAATTTTCATTCATTTTTTTAAACTTTATTTATCAATTTTTTCAAAACCTTTTAAAAAATACAATTTTCTGAATGTAAATAAAATAGGTTTCAAAAGAAATTGCATCAAAACTGTTCTGTAGACAATTAGTATAACTTGAACTCCGTATGTTTATTTTGGCACCTGAAACAAGTTTATACGAATATCTTTAGGCCTGAGTACTATTAGAAGCAGCGATTAACTCGTGTAATTACTGCAAAGCAAAAATAGTTTTACCGACTTAGGACCCACCTACCCATGCAGGTGCCAAGATCTCTCGAGATTTTTAGTATATGAACACTATCAAATGTAACATGCAAAAAAAAATCATCAAATTGGTAGTCAAAAAATAATGGTACCCTCCTCTATTTTCAGCTATACCCTTGCACTTAGCATTAATATAATATGAATTATGACTAACATCCAACAATTTCATTAAGGCATCGTGTAATTAATTTATATGTTTTGAAGGAAAAACCTTTTTTTTTTTTTTTTTTGTGATACATAAATTTATTTTAAGTTCTAAACAGCTGCTATCAGTGGCGTAAGTAACTATTATAATTATTATATTATTATTGACAGAGATAGCAAATGCCCGTTAAACGTCCTCTTAACAATATTTCTGTTTTAAACTTGGTTCCATAATATTTTTTAATTATGTACGATTTCTATTTTATAAACACCATTAAAACACCAGAGGCCGAGCCGTATACACTCCAAACAGTTTAATAATATACTTGTATCATACGAATAAGTTGTAAATACGTTGTTCAATGATACAATACTTAATACGGCTTTGCCTTGGTGTACTTACCTATATTATTACTTATATACCTACTCCATTTGATTCTTTCGCTCGAGTGCTTTTTCTCACTTCACTTTTCTCTCTTTTTTTTTTTTTGTTTTTATTGTTTTAGACATTTATTTTTTTTACCTATTTATTTATTTTTGTATTGTTCTTTGAACAATAATAATTGTGTGTCTTTTTGCATATTGATATCGATGTGAATTTTCAGTTTGTGATTGTATTTGTTTGCCTTTTCTGATCCAACATTATTAAAAAAAAAAAAATCAGGCATAAAAATTGATAAAATCAAATATTATACAGCTTGTGCTATCAGGCAAGACGTCTTATTAATTATGTAAAATCATATGATGCAATTAACTCAATATTAAACAATAAAACTATACGTGTTATAAAGCAATAATATTTGTAAAAGGAAATCATTAACAGCATAAGTCACATACATTAAAACTTTAACTAAACATTAGGTACTAACTTAAGAAAATAAAAAGGTTTTGAAAAAAAATGTTTTAAAATTCAAACGGGAGTTATAAAAATTCAATAAAAATTAAACATTCGTAGTATTTATTAGTGTTATGAAAGACAATTCATTCAATAAGGGACATATTTCAATAATATTCCTTTTCGTCCGATACGTTATAGTCTCGATGTGATAAGATTATAAACCATGACGAAGCCAAATATAGATTATGGAATGCCATATTGTGGATGTATTAATAATATATTTACTCACATCATTGATCTATTTGGTAATGGTACCATAATACAGGCTATTTTTAACCTTATTTGTGTTACAGGTGTGGCAATACTGCTTTCACAAGTAGTTTACCTATTGCGGTTGGCAGAAGTGTTGCCAGAATCCTCTGACGCGGTGCCCTTGTTAGGTTAGAGCTTAACCATATTGACAGACACACTTCTTTTCAAAACACACTCATTTTTCTTAATTCTGTGTTCTAACAGTCTTCTTATATTTTTGGTCTGCAATCTAATCACTTTATTTCGCATCGGGTGTGACAAGTATTTACAAGTATAATAACGTTTTGTTTTAGGTAACTAACAGTTAAGTATAAATATTTTATTACAGGTAGGTACTTAAATACCATTATTACTACTTTTATAAAACACAAATTTACAAATAGAAAATATTCAATGTCGTTTAACAAAAAAAAAAAACCTCTTAAAAATAGGTCCATTGAATACATTGATACTGTAAAATTTTATTTTATTTTTTTGAAATCAATTTGTAGAATATAACACTGTTCCAGAAATTGATTCTCCATTTTCTATATTTTGAATTTTCTATTTAATTTAACACGATTAATATGATCATTAATCACGTTCCATGTATGATCCATACTAAATCCAAATGATAACGAGTTAAAAGAGTCAAATAATATGACTGTGACACATATATAAATGTGTATAGAATTAAACTGTATAGGTAATGTAAAACTTTACGATAGACAAAAAGATAAATTTCAATAAATCAAAAACCAAAAATCAAATCATGAATATAATTTATCGAATCAATTTTTTATAATATACCTATAAAACCGAACTGTATTGATCTTATCCATAATGGAATACTCGGATATTAATATTATTATATTATACGATATTGGATAATCGTACACGTTTTCGTTACACGATAGCCTTTAAACTTCATAATAACCCTCTTAAACGGTTTAAAGAGCTAAAAAATATCCAATGAAGTAATTGATGACTTTCGACTTCTAAGTAGGGTGAAAAAAAAACTATTGATTTTACAATAATGTTAATATTATGTTCCTTTTTTTTTTTTTTTCCGTACGTCCAAAATTAATTTTAAACGTTGTTAATGCGTTCCAATCCTTTTAGCTAATCGATCGATTATTTAAATTGGCCGAAGCCAATACATTTCTTTTTTTGAAAAAATAAATAAAATCGTTCATTAATTGATAAATTATTGTGATTAGGGTTAGGGACTTCTAGCATTATTTGCATTATTATTTTTTTTTTTTTATATATATATATATATATACTAGCTGTCCCGCGTCCGTCGTTGCCCGCCCCAATTTTTATTGTTATTATTATTATTTATTTTTGGTTTTGGCCGTGTTAGAACTGAATGAAAACAAAATAGATGGAAACCTTCGGCGGACTAAATGTGTTCTATTGTGAAATTTGAATAGTGTAAATTATAGTAATAATTAATAATTACAATAGTTTTCTTTTCCGTGGCGACCCTTGAATAAACAAAAATCTTATGTAAATAAAACAGAGTCGGGTTAGTTGCGCCATTTATAACTCAAGAACGGCTGAACCGATTTTGATCATCACATGATATTTTCCGACTAATTTCTAATAATAATTAATCGCCATTTTTTTTTTTCATCCCTGCTACCGAGCTAACATAAATCAACAAATAAAACTGTATTTATTATATTATAAACTAAATTACTTGGTGTTGGTCATGTATCTATATATAAGCGAAAATACTAAAATCTCGATTAAAAAATAGTGGACGGGGGTAGGAGGTTGAAAAAAAATTTCCCGACCTGTTCTCAGACCTACCAAATGTACACAAAAAAATTTATGAAAATCGGTCAAACCGTTTCGGAGCAGTTCAATAACAAACACTGTGACCTGAGAATTCTATATATATAAGATAAATATACACATAAATACTGTTTAAGATGTAAGCCATCTCGATTTTAAATTGTGTTTCGTATGTATATTTGCATATTTTACATGTCTCGTTTACTAGAACGTATTTTAACAGTAACTCTTATACGCTATAATCGGTTAAACACGCTCGTACCTTATAAATTCTCAGTAAAATAATATGTAAGATTCATTTCACATATTATATTGTATGCCGTGTATCAATCACCCGGTATTCAATTAACACTATTCAAATTTATACGCACCGATGCGCGATAACATAGCCAAACGCGGCATCGTAGAATAGCTCGTTTTCCGCGATAAGGCTCGCATTTAATTACGATTAAGATCGATTTTATTAAATTCGCAACGTTCTAGAGCATAATATTTCAGTACATATTCGGATGTCATTTTTATGCATATTTTTATACTTTATAGAGCTAGAAATCCCTAAGCCTAATTATGATCAATCATTATTATATGCAAGTCTATTGACTATGGGTCATACACAGCCAAAATATAGGCTATCGTTATTTCTAAAAAACGACAAAAAAAAAAAAATACATTCTAATGTACTGAATTTGATACGAAATCACGGTTTTTAGATTTGTTCGCTTATCTTTTGTAAATGATACTATGAAAAAATAAATTTAAATCAATTATAAAAAAAAATAAATCCAAAAATCAGAAATTCCAGTGTAGATGTACATGTGTAGATTTATAGGCAATTTGGCGTAAACTTATTGTTGTTGTTTCAATGACGTCATTATACGTATATATCTATATACGAGTATATGTAACAGAAATATTGTGGTCAATACGCGTGATTAGTATCATCTACATTGTGCTCTTCTTATCATTCTGTAATCAATAATATTTTAATAATTCGGATTCTAAAAATTAAAACATTATATTATTTTAAACCGTAGACACAATGTACACCCTGAATGGTGATTCCATTATTAACACATCTAGCGTAATCCGTGTATAATTATGTCTATGCTTTAAACGCTCGTATTGTGTTAAAATATAATTAGGTATTTATAAACTAAAATTTGACAATTACTAAACAACAGTTACTCAGATGAAGTTTTCAGCAATAAAATGTTTGTCTAAATACTTAATATGTAAAATATATGAATTTACGGTTACTTTAGATCATATTTCTACGTAAATACAAATATCATTATTTGGATCCGTTCGTAACTGATTAAAATTGTTATCATATAATATAACGTCACACTAATTACGCGTATACACTGTACACTATTTTTTTTTTTTTTTTCTAAATTGCCTAAAGGCATTTTTTTTTATTTAAACGATAAAATAATCTTTATAAATATAAATCAATAGAAATATGTATACATACAATGCACCTACACTATACACTGTTTACATTATATTATTATGGAATACGACTGATATTCTCTATGGCCAGGAATTTTTTATTTATTTTTTTTAACGGTTTTCATTCGATGGTATTTTGAAAAAAAAAATTCGTTTTCATAAAGTATCGGTAGGTAAATGTATATATTATAATATTGAATTCCGATAACGGCTAATCGTTTTTTTTTTTCTGTCTACTAGTATTTCCTATCAAACGAAAGATTTATGATTTATAGACGATACTTGTGTCCTTTTACTATAAACCAATATAAAAAAAATTTTAAAAAACCCTCGGGTACTTGGATAAGAAATGATTTTTATACATGTTTATACAAACGTTTTTTTTTTTTCGACTATCAAAGTTGTTTTATGGTTTTAAATTATTTTTTGTTACTATTATTATTATAAGACGTGATGTTTCTATAATATCCCTTTTTTTTTCATTTCACGCACTCGCGGTAAAAATATTTAAAATCTATAAATTACATAGGCTATAGCCACTCCGAGTTTATCAATTATAAAATCAATTACAGTTTTACTACGCCTTCCGCAAAAATCGATACACTACGTCAGTTCAGAAACGTTCTATTTTTTTTTTCGATTCTAAAAAGTCATTACATAAATTCGAAGCCTATACATTTTTAGATTTTATGTAGGTATATTATGTATATATATATATATATATATAGATTACATAGGGAAACATATTATTTTAAACTAACTAAAATCTAGAAAAAAAAATCTAAAAAAAACCATAAAAAGTAAAAAAATAAAAACATAAAATATTTTTTTTCCGATTAAATTTTTTTTTTTTTTTTTTGTGTTGCGTAAATTGCGGGAAACACAATTTGTTTATACAATTAATTAAAAGAATAAAAAAAAAAAAACAATTCAGTATCTACAATAAATTTAAAGGTACCGCTATCACTATACATGTATAAGCATTTAAAACCGATAAAAGACACCATAATTCTTATTCCAGTAGGAAGTTTACAATTTAATTTCATGAAGGCTATTTTCTACAGAACAATAATGTTAACGTTAACATTTTTTTTCTTTTTACCCGATTTTTAAATAAAATTAAACATTTTTTTTTTATTTGTATTTAAATTTGAGTTCATAGATCTATTAAAATTTTAAAATTTTAATAGTCATATAGTAATAATATTAATATTATAATAAAACGCACGGTTTAAAATGGAAAATGTTTACAATAATGTATCAAAACTTTGTCACACCCTGTTTCAATCAGTTATTGAAATACATACATTATTATTTCATACCATATATACATATATTATATTATACACTTTTATATTAAATTTTCAGTCAGCTTTTCTTAAGAAATATTTGTTTTTGTTATTATTTTTTATTTTATTTTTGGTTTTTTTCCATACCTATACCTATACTGTCTTCTTTGGTTTTTCGCTACTTTCTCTACTAAATATTTGTACATTTTATGCATGCCAATACAAATAAGTATATTATATAATACATAGAACGCAACACTATACTTTTTAAGTTGAAATTTGCTTGCCCATCGTGAACAACTTATACATTCATTTGCCAATATTATATATTATGTTTTGTAATAATGCATACCTACCATTATTTCAATGTCAAACATTTGTATGCGAAATAAAAACTTTATTTGAAGCTTTCCCTTTGTGGTGTAAATAAATGCCAGAAGAATTATTTTCTTATTTTGAAAGGCACGCGTAAATTATAAATTATTAAAAATAGATCCCTTTTTTGCTAAATTTCAAATGATATTCGTTTACAGCAAAAATACAACATACACTTGCATGTAAATAAATATGAATTTTCGAAAACGTATTATATACCTAATACAATTCATAAGACTTTATTGAAACTGCGGTAATTTTACCAAAAAAAAAAAAAAAAAAAAAAAGGGGGGGGGGGGGGGAAAGCGTAAATAATTAGATTAAATTTTGAATAATTGGTGCTAAATATAAATTGTCCAGCCACTGGTCGATTTAAATATTTTTAAATATTTAAATATAATATATAGTTACTTTAATAATATATATGAAATGATAAAAAATGGCTACATTATTATTATTCATTCATTTTATAATATGAAAACATTTTGTCCAGTTCCATTGTAATACACTAACGGTTTTTAATATGAAATTAGTCTACGTTTACACGTTTTTAAATGTATGTTTATGCGTACGTAGGTAAGTAAGTGTATTAAAAAACTATTTCACTTATAATATGAATATAAACAGGAATGTTCTAAATTCGGATATTGCTATGTATATAATTATTATTATTATAAATTATACCGCGGCTTATAGAATGAAAATCGTGACAAATATCTCTCGAATAATATTCTCGAGTGGAAATATATTACAAAATATTATCGATGAATAACGGTTCACTATAATAATTAAAAAAGTAAATTACCATAATATATTTTAAATATCGTATTTTAAACCGAATTGTGTAAACAATAATACACTAAAATAAAATCAAATAAATACGTAAATATTAAGAGGACGTTAAATTCTAAAGGCTTTCGACTCTTACTTTTAAATAAGTCGTTTTAAAATATGCAAAGTTTACTTGAAACTATTGTTATTATTATTTCGTATGATGTATTATAGGAACGCCATTAAAACGTATCTAATATATAAGACAATAAACGAATACAAAATATATTCTGTCTAATTTCTAAACCTTCAAATTACAAATATGAAGGAATAATGAAAATAAATATTATCTAATAATCTATAAATATTAATCTATAGTATTATTTATTTTTTTTTTTTTTTTTAAACTCATATTAAATCATGTTTTGAAACAATAAACCAAGTTCCAAGTTTAAAAATGTTAAAAACTGGTGTTACTTTGGAGAGATATTTTTGTATAGAACCGCGCTATAAAAAGATCTAGATACTGAGGATGAGTGTGTCACTGTTAGGATACATATAGTTATTTAATATAATCGATTTAACATAAAGTTATTTAATTTATATCTACGCAACGAATAACCATTGCTAATCAAATCGATTCTGGGCGAAATTCCATTAAATATGTTTTGAAAGAACCATTGCTAACGAAAAAACGATTCTGAGCGGAGTTCTAGTTGATAGTGATGCTTTTTCAACAATATATATGTCATTTTGTAGTAAAATAATTAAATTATGTTTTATATATTTTCTTTAATAAAATTTATTTAATGCTGTACCGATTTCCCCAGTTTTTCTAAGATTTTCCCTGTTTTACTGTGTTCTATCCTAGTTTTTCACATTTGCTGGAAAAACTCTTGGGAAAATCAAAAAAATGTTCTCTTTAAAGTACCTCCCTAGTGAAATTTCCTTTTTGAAATATTGCTATGATTGTTGGAGTGAAATTGCTGGTAGAAAAGATGTGCCCAGGAAAAAAAATCGCAGTATATTAGTAATATATTTCGTACATTTTCCCGTTTTTTTTTCGGTTTTTCAAGTTTGATGAGAAAACTCCATATAACATATAAACATATAAAAATCCAAGAAAGTCTTCTAGTAGAAAAGTTGTTTACCGATTAAAAAAAATAATAATAATATACAACTTTGTAAAACTATAAGTTCTTCGCTCTACTCTAGTCTAAAATGTACACGTTTAGGTCCCTGTTTTTAACAAAAACGATTTCGAATATTATGTTGTTAATCAAAAGGATACATGTTTTAAAACATAAAAAATACACCACATTTTAACCTAAATATATTTTAATATTGTGATATAATTTGTGTTCTACAAAGTAGCTAATTTAAATTAGAAAAAAAAAAAAAGATAATTTTCCGAACATTTGAAAACATCAACATTGAACATTCGTTCAATAGAATATAGTTTATTGATAATAATTATTTTCATTTATGGAAGATCAACGTAGTTAAATTAATAAACTCTCGTTACAAACTACATAGGTATTGGGTGTTGATATGGTTTTTATATTTTATCAATCTTGGTTTAGGATGGTTTTAAAATTTAAGATCTGTTCGGTTTGTTGCTCGTAGGCCATCGTCAAAAACTAAAAGAATCGTAGATGATATTATTTTCCACCCGTTTAAAGTAGACATTGTTGACGGTCACGCCTTGATTCTGTAATTCAGAAATATACTCGTATATTCATTGGTATATGTATATTCAATACGTTTCAAAAATCATTAGTTATTTATTTCTATTATAAGCACAAACGTTTTACGATTTCTATACCTATGTAGTAAAACAAGCTTTATATTTTATAAACGGTTTCCGAATACAATGATTTGCTAGACACCCAGCTATTTACACTGCTTTCAAATGTATATTATTAATGCAAAAGTAGCTTTGACACCGCCGAAAAGTGAGCGAAGTGAAACTAGTGTTCCACACCTAGTCTATCTTGTATCCCGTCTGCGCTTGTTTAACAGAATATCTAAAAGGATTGGAACACAAAAATACCGCCAACGATTTTACCATACATAAAACATTAATATTCAATCAATAGTTTCTTTTTTATTCAGAAACTAGCGGGGTCTACAGAAACGAGGGTCGATAAAGGTCCAGCAGCCTTTCCATAAATGAATTATGAGTTGTTTTTTTTTTTTTTTTGTTGTTGTTGTTTATACATACACGTACCGAAAATACTCATTGCCTAGTCACTGTACAGTACATGTATAAGTATAAGTGCATAGTCATAAGGTATTCCATGTTAATAAACTCGAAAGCGTGTTAATATAAATATAGATAAGCATTATAATTAGTACTTTACATTTTATATATAAGAGAGTATAGGTGTAAATTCAACACGTGTTGTAATATTATGGAGCCGGTAACGTAGACGCTAAGCGCGGAAATATTATTCTGTTTATCGCGTTGTAAAGTATATGCAATTTTGAATTTCCAGCCGATTTTACAAACAACAGTATACTAATAGATTGTGTAATTTTAAACATAAATTGCCGATCAACTTAACGTATCCGAACGACATTAAATTTAATGTTTATTAAGCTATTTAAAATAATCGTTCAATATAGTTTAGATAAGTTAGTTAATTGTACACTTCAGACGAATTACGAAAATTCACAAACCTTAATCCTCGTTAATAATAACCAATATTTCAACAGATCCGTTAAATTAACTGCACGTTGTTGAAAATATAGTAGAACAACATCGGAATCTTCTAAATTTTGCATAAATTGTACTTACTAATAAAAACACAGTACATTAGTAAATTTACAAAAAAATCGCCCTAACTCTAGCCAAAAGTAATTATTTAATAAACAGGAAATTTAGTAATTGTGAAAAACCGTTAAAACTGCGAGACGAAATATTACAAGTTTGGGTCATTAAATATGTAGCTAATTAAATAAATTTTGTGAGATTTTATTTAATAGTTATACCTATGTGTTTGTTTTGTTTATGACAATATTAAATTTATGTTCGGTTTAATTGGCACTATCCGGTAGAGTTTGGGTTATTGTTTAAAGTTTTCTCAAGGTCAAAATCAAAAGAATTTCACTTTAAAACTTAATAGGATTAGTGGGGAGTGTAATGTAAGTTCTATGAGTTCTGAAATCTCCTACAAAGAAATATTAACTTACATAGGTACTTGACTACCCGGGGTTTCGATACCTTATCCATGTTTACGAAAATAATATGTTAATAAAACCATATAATTAAAACGTACGTATTGATACACGTAAATAGTTATTATTTTAGTCGACTGGAAGTATTTATTATAATTTAACATTTGAATGCGAAGGAATTAAACGTGCGGTTTTAAGACTTAATAATATGTTTCGAATTCAGAATTTTTTTTCTGTAATCTATATTTCGTTGGAATCGAAAAAGTAATTTCGTTAGGTTAGAATAGCGACCGATTATTATGTTTAGGATCTTTTTTTTTTCGCGAGATTCGTTAAATAAAATTTCACCCGTATAACATCATAATTTTAAGAGAAATATAATCTTCTCACATTTGAGTCCATAAAATTCCGAAAATATATTGAGAATAAGATCATTACGCGGATCTATAATAATTGAAAAAAAACACCAAAATCTTTGTACATAGCTTATCACTGGTTTGTGATAAAATAATCGCCCAGAATTATAATACTTTTCTAATATTTTCGTCCCCGTACAAATCTTTAACAAAATGTTACTCTTTATTTTTTTTATTTTTTGTTTTCGTAAATTATAGAGCCATTATACACAATCTTAGACCTACACTTCATTCAGTGACTTACGAATATTTAAACTTTTTTATTTTTATTTTCTCCCGTGATATTTTTGGGCTTCTCATCAGCGAAAAACCGTAAAATAATACGTGACTTGAGTTACCGGCTACGTTTTATTATATAGAATCTGGCACACATGTCACGCAGTTTCATCTTCTCCCAAAACCTTGTATACTGTATGTATAGGTATACTTACACAACAAATAAACCACCAAAGTAAATTTGGCTTTAGTCGATTTCCATTATGTGACATAAACTTTATTACGGTTTCCTTTATTTTTTCTATAATATTCAATTCATACCTGGCCGTCATAATATCCCGGCGTGCATAACACTAATAACTATTACACGATGTTTTGATTTTATTTTGTTTTTTTTACACTCGTTTTGTTTAGTACCTACAATTTACATATTATTATTAATTTTTTTTTTTAAAACTCTGACGTCCTAGTCTAGTGTCTAACACAGGCTGTATACAATGTTAGAACAATACTAAAAGATTTACGTTTAAATAACATTCATAAAAATATTTTATATCTAAATAAAAAAATGTTTTAACTAAAATTTAAAATAAGTAATATTATTTTATTAAATAAGTTTCGTCCGAAACACCATTAAATAACGATATTTGTATACATTTGTAAGTTGATATTACACACGCCTCACTCCAAGTATCAACTGATCTGACTTCGAGGAATAATAATAAATGTATTGAGTATTAAAAGAAAAATATATATGTATATATATACATATATATATATATATATTTAAACTAATATTATAATGTTTTTTTTTTTTTTTGTATCTAATATATTTAATTTATATATTATGGTTTTTTTTTATTATTTTTCTAGTAGGTATGTATATTTGATTATTAGTGTTTTGTTTAGTATCTTAATTTTTTTTTTTTCATATATATATATATATAATCGGTACGCAAGTTGAATATTATTGATTACATTTTTTATTACACCAACATATATATACAATATACATAATATTAATTATTACGAGTAATATTATAGTAGACAGCAAAACAGCGTAGGTACCTAAATAGAAACATACTTATTTTTGTTATTATAATAGGTTATAAAAGCTTACTTTAATAATGTTAATAATTTTTAATTTAATTTTTTTTTTTTTTTTTTGTTTTTCTTGAACAAAAGTAGGTACATATATCGGTATAAAATAACGATAATATTATATTATAACGATGTACATCGCAGTAAATGTTATTATTTTTCAATTAATATACGCTTCGAAATAATTAAGAGCCAAACATAATGTTAATAACAATAATATATTGTGTACTTTATAGTTGAATGTTCGATATTGTAGGGTATAATGTAATATCATATAGATATTAAAAAAAAAAACAACTAGATAGTAGGATGACATAAATCATAGACAATAGACATTAGACATAGATATAACTATATGGACCACGCATCAATGAAATATTATATTGAAATCAACATAAGTGTGAAAGAGACAGACTCGTAGTTTACGGTTTCAATGAGGTTATATGCAATTTCATAACACTCCTTAGTAATAATTGAGAAAAAAATTGATAACATCATACTAATTGACAATTTATATCAAAATATACCGATAAAGACCGTTTTTTTGTTACTGTCTGGTTCAAAATACTTCAGATCTGTGCAAAATACTATTTTGAAAAGTAAACTCATAGAGTATTCTATAAATCGTTTATGAGCCCTTTGAAAAAGTCAACTATATGTCTGTCTCTCTCGCACATACGATTGCACCAAAGTATTATATACAAGACGAGTATAATGCGCGGGCTATATATTATTTGTCTATGGGTTTAATAGATAGATAAGAGATATGAAGTTTGAAGGTCACACACCAAAAAGGTGTAAGAAATGCCGAAGAAATATTTTGTTCGTGCCATGAATATTATGAAGTAGATTAGGTACTTGGTTGTACCAAATTTTAAATATTTTTCATATAAAATTTCACATGATGTATTTAAATATCACGTATAACTCATGGCAAAAACACATATTTCATGGACTAATCGATGCAATTTGCCCTTTTGATATAATAGGTATTGTTGCTTATTAGCTTCCCGTTTACTAATAGAGTTGGCTATCTAGTTGTTTTACCAATATCTATGTGTACATACATTATGCATTTGAACTAGATATTGACTTTAACAATAAACTACCGGTTTAACTACCGAATTGATCATATCAAATTTATTAAATTACTTTTAAATTAAACTTTAATTACAAAAATTAAAGTTTTATTAACAGTTAATTTTACATATTATAATAAAACATGGTGACAACATACATATTACTGACAGAAGACTGTAGTCTTAGGTATATAGATAAGTAATGTATTTAAGTATTCTTAGGTAAAATATTACAATTAGAAATATGTCCACTGATTTCGTATTTAATTTAATTATAACTACACAAATTTCACCAATATTAATTTATTCTTCGAAATAATTCTATATTTTAATTCTCATTTTGCCTAATAATAAAATGAATGTAAATCACATAATATAAATAGTAAAGCTAAACATTTAAGATTGATTTTTGAATTTTTTACAATGGTCACATAATTTTCTAGTTGTCGTTTCATGATTCTATAAATATTTAGGTACTTACATACACTAAAGTGATATATATTTTTTACAAAAATACTTTTTTACTGGGAAATAATTTTTAGGGTTACTGTTATATTATATTAAATATTGAAAATAAACTTGTTTTGTTATTTTATTTACCTACAAACGTTTCGATGAAATAATATGAATTGTTTTAAAGTAAATATTACCCTAAATTATAATAAACGATAAACACACAGACAAATATTATTATACCTACAAACTTAAAATATTCTAAAATCAGTACTTTGTATTTGTAGGAATTAGTATTTTTAGTTCTTCATTATATTGCGTGTACCTACCTATAATATAGGTATATATAATATTCAAATGACTATAGTTGAGCATGCTTCATTTTTAATTTTTATTTATTTACATTTTTATTACTCTTGTTAACTTTCGTGCTTATACTATTACAAAATCTTTATTGAAATTAATACACTAAAAACGTGTATATACTATTACAATAACGTTGTTGTTTAGAACCTTAAAATTCATTAGAGCACTTTAAAAATCTGTCTTTTAGTCTCTAAAGCATCTTTTCGTTCTGATCCTAAAAAAAAAAAAAAAAAATATTATACATATTAATATTAGTTATAGATCATAAAATTTAAAAAAAATATTAATAATAATAATAATCGTACATTTTTCCATAGGTACTTACTTCAATTGCATCATGTTTATGGTGGCTTCGTCGGTAGTACTCACATTGGTGGTGCTCAATTATCATCACCGAACAGCCGACATAAATACTATGGGACCATGGGTAATTTTCATAGTTAAACGTATACCTCTATATCAAGTAGGTCAAAATAAGTATTACGTAAGATATTTTGAAAAACCGCAACGATAATAATATATTGCGTATTTGAACAAAATCGAATTTTGTAAATACGTAATATAATATAATCTGCAGTGGATATTATCGTACGTATTGTTCATTCGGTCAAAATGAATTTACTAAAATCTGTATGCGTTCATAATCGTATAATATAAATTAATAACAATTAAAGAAGATTGGCACATCGATATGATATTATCGTATCGATTATACCGCGTATTTTCATTGTTTTAATTAATTTTCCACTGTTATTAATTTCATTAGGCCAAGTGTTTTTTCCTATTATGGCTACCGTGGATATTGTGTATGCAAAGGCCGGGAAAAGACATATCATTCAAAGCCATCAAAAGCAGATACACCGATCGTCGGGGCATGGAACTCCGAGAGAGGTCGTCCAGAAGTTTATTGGCCAACGTTCTGGATATTGGTATGGTTATAATATCATAGTATAATATACATTTTATTTATTTACCTTCCATATGAAACGGTTCTTAGAATGTTTGAACAACAATATATAATTAACACGGTCGTCCATTTAGGGGGAAAGGGGAAATGTCTGTACATACGGGTGTAACCATTATAACAGCACAAATTTTCGTTTCCCTCGATGGGCCAATCTTGACGAGCGAGTCAAAATTATGGGTATACCTATATGCCATACAAATTAGTGTTTTATGAGTATTCTGATGCTGTTTCTCCGTAAACAGTTAAAAAAAAATACTCAAAATAAAACAACAAAAATCACCGGAAACCCCTCACAAATTAAGGGCGTGACACCGAAGTTATTTTAAAATTAAGTTGACTTTCGAATAATAGTTGAAACGCAGAGAAAATTATTTTAAAAGTCATCACAAAATATCATTGTTTTTTTTTAAATTTCTGCACATGCTTTTTACAAACTGATACCTATAGTTATTTCACCAGATATATATAAAAGTACCATTATACGTTTTTCATTAAATATTTGTTTTTCCTTCCGGTTTATTTGTCTTTTCTTTTTGAGAGGGGGAAGAGAGGAAATTTTAACGTTACAAATGCATTCCAAACAATAAAATGACAATTTGTGATATATATTTTTAAATTTTCAATGTGTTTATTACTCAATAACAATTGTCAATATAATTTAAAAACTACTTAAACGTTTTTGGACGAAATAGGTGAAACCAAAAAGGTTGAATTTGTGCAATACACTTCCCCCAACCCCCCCCCCCCCAAAAAAAAAAACTAAAATAAAAAATTGCAAGAGCAAAATATGTTGTATATTTTAATTGTACGTAATAAAAGAAATAAATATATAACTGAGGTAGCTTATTTCATATCGGACTAACATGAAAAAAATTAAGGAAAATCTGAAATAGCCTAACTCTATGTATGAACAAAAAAAAAATTAAATATAGTCTTCGAGTCATTTGTAGTAAAACATAATGTATAGTGCATAATTATATTCCCGTTAGGCTCCCTTCCACCGTATTTTCTTACACGGGCACGTTTTCAGTTTTTTATTCAAATATGATTTATAGAAAATGCATACAGCGATATAAACTATTTAATATTAAACGTTAATTGTAAAAAAAAGAATATGAATCTTTCATCACAAAGTTTCGAGCCTACCACCGTTATCTGTGATACAATCAATGTTGGGTTTGTCAAATAAAACCAAAGGTTTAAGTGAAGGGACGGATTCCCCCTTCTTATTTAAGGTGGAATTATCAGTCCCCTTTAGTTTAAATCTTCGAGGCCCGAAGGAACACTTTAATCATTGTTACTGAGACATTTTGAATAAACTTTTAAAAACTCCAATTAGTTTTAATAATAATAAATTCTTCAATACCCATAAGATCATACCAAATGAGACTCGGTTTAATTTTATTATTTTATTTTCACTGAGTGGGCATATATATGTAGAATAATATCTGAAAGGGTTGAAGTTTATTTTTAAATCCTATTGTTATAACATTTTTATGAACAAATGTGTGCGAGAGAATAATATTTTGGGAATCTTGATAGAATCTTGGGAATTCATGATAGGTTTCCTGAAAATTTGATTAAGGTTTAGTTAGTTCTGGGAAACGCCACTCATTTTTCGGTAAATATCCCCCTTCAAACTTTTTATGCACATTAACCACTGGATAAAATCGTCAAAAAGATAATCTAGAAAACGACATACTATTTTTTATCTTTTTTCTAAATATCTCATCTCTATATTTTCTCAATAATATATAGTAAATATATACATAATAGATACTATAACAGTTTACTATAGTATAATATTCATCATTCTTAAGAATTTTTTTTTTTTAATTGCGCTGTAACCACGTGTATACTAACCAATAGAAATAAGTCAAGTAATATCTAATAATATTATGGATAATATATGTTAATTATAATCTGAATATACTGATAGACGATATTTTACTACAAACCGCAGTATTAATTATTCTATTGAATAGTATAAAATTTGACTTACGCAGAGAAATAATACGCATTTGAAAAAAAAAAAATAAATAAATAAATAAATAATAATAGTAAATAATAGTTAAAATACAAATGATTACAAGGGTTTTTTTTTTTTTTAACATTATCTAGATAACTGAAAAATTATCTTTTTTCTAGATACAAATATTTGTTATATCTTCCCCAACACAACAAATAAAACTTTCTTTCGCCAAGTTCGTAAAGCGTAATATTTACCTATGCATAATATTATTACTCTCGTAAACTTATTATTTGCACGATACACACAACGTGTCATATTTACAGAGAATAATTTAATTGGTAGGTAAACCTACTGCAATATTAATTTTTGAATACTTAATAATAACGCGTTTCACTTTAATATTGATTCCATTGGTTCTATTTAAACGACACCCCCAATCATAATTGATCTGACACAATAAAAATATTGTATTCAAAAGCGGAATATTTTACAAACGTTTACCGCGTATAAAATAATAATAAATCGAATTTATAAAAACCAATAGTCAATTATTTAGAATATGATGTGTATAAAGTTTAAACAAAAGGAGTGGCAAGACAGGAAAATAATTTTACACCCCGCTACATTTTAACGTGCCACTCCGCTTCACTAAACTTTAAACCCTTATAAATTATAAACTTTTAGTTCCATATTTGATATTCATGTATGAGTACGTTTTCTGAAAAGTGTACTTACTGCGCTTTTAGATGCAAAATTAAAAATAGCGGTTATACCATATTTTAAAATGAAGTCTTAGTAAAAAAAAAAATTATATATAACTATATATATTTATTTTTTTATTTTTTTGCTAAACGTAAATTTGATCAAATAAAAAATCTCTCCGTTAACATTAACAATTATTACACAGTAATTTGTGATCTTATAAAATTACGTAAATGTACCATTGTCGACCGCTCCACACTACGCCGTTTTGCTATTACATCCGGTTGGCTGTTGTCATATTATTTGTTTTCGATTTTAAAACTTTAAACATTAAACTTTTGGGTGGTTTCTAGTTTGTACATTAACTGTTTACAGGATGCTCCATTTAAAATTTAATTTTAATTTTCAAAACATTTATTTTTATTTTCCATCTGGACAATTCCAACATTTTTAAAAGATGCCTGTCTACTTTTAATTTTATACTCTAGAGCAGTAAACAATATCCGCGAAAATATTTTGATAGGAGCACAAAATTAATATAGTAACGAAGTGGAATAGACTAAATTCGGATTCCGATACGAATTTAATGTTTAAATGAGAACTCGGAGGACTAACAAACGTTACATCCGATACGATCGATTTAAATTTATTATACATGTAATATTATTCTTTAATATAATTCCGCTCTTCTATATAATATGTTAAGCGTTCATATTAGACAATAAACTATCGACAATTCCACATTACGTATTATTCATTATTACCGTGTATCAAAACTTTTGTGAAAAACAATTCATACTTTCGAAACGTTTCGCTTAAGTTGTTATTTTGTTCAGTTTCGGCTAGGTATTTGGTCTAATTTATATGCATCGCCATACAATAAATTACCCTTATTGAATTAATGATTTTGGGGTTTAACTGCCGCAGTAGTTTAGTCGGCGGTTCAATTTTGTATACATACGCCAGCAATTATTAATTCGAATAATATAAATTAAATCTTTAATATTCGTAATATGATTACACGTAAAATATATCATTAAATTTATAAAATACTGTATAAAAAAAATGATACCCGTTTAAAGAATAGGAAAACTGTTTGATAATAATACACAAAAACACCAACATAATACCATATTATAATACATACCTACTAATATCTGTGAGTGTGTCAGCTCCCAAGATTAATCAACTGACGATATTTTAAACGAATTTCTTCCCAACCGACATACCCGAAATTTCATGGTAACCGAAAAGGTTTACCTAATTTGTTTTTTCTCACCAGAAAACGATTCCCGATAAATAAATCGGTTACGTCGTTGAACAATTTTATTTTTGGGAACCAATTAATTTAAATATCTATGGGTGTGCCTGTACTATTCACAATGCCCGCCACATTTGCTTGTTCGATCGAGTCCAGACAATTAGTATCATACTACTGAACTAATTATTATTGTGACCATATTCGTTGATAATCGTTCGATGAGTGGAATATTTTCGGAACTTTTTCCTTGCCTTGTCATTTTTTTAAACATTTTAAAAATATGTAAATAATGCAATGCTCGTGTCGAATCACTTGGATTACAGACGACGATTTCCGGGCGAGCGTCCTATCACACCGGGCGTACACCAGCGGGGCCGCCAGTACTTCGTCGCCCACGTCCGAGTCCCGGAGCATGTGCAACTACTCGGCCAGGGAACTGCAGCTCATCTTGCATGAAGTCCGGTACATTACCGATTACATGCGGAAGCAGCAGGAAGACCAGGATGTGATAAACGACTGGAAGTACGCGGCCATGGTTGTAGACCGTTTCTGTTTGATTGTGTTCACTTTTTTCACGTTAGTCGCCACCATTGCCGTACTGTATTCAGCGCCACATATAATTGTTGAGTGACCGCAGGTGACGTTATTATGTTCGGGTGTCAAAACGACAATGGCAATAGTTTTGTTAAATATTTGTTTCAGAGCGTATCGAGTTACTGGTTTTTACTAAACATATTTGTTTTTTTATAATATTACAGAAGAGCTTAAAAAAAAAAACCAAACAAACCAACAAAATTATAATATAATAATATACGACTCTCTGATAAACAACTCCCATTTATACAGGGTGTTAAAAAAAGATCATAATTGGACAAGAATACAAGTCCTTCAGAATTGAATTACAGTGTTTTAACAAAATTTTAATAACCACCAAAAACATACCCTGTCTATAAAAAAATGATAACAATAATAACAAACTATTATTTGGATTTTTTTTTAACGTGTATACTCCGACTGTGCTATATATATATATACAGTAATATATATACAGTGTACTATATATACAGTCAGAATAGTTAAAACATTTTCGTTAATTTTTTTTACCTATTATTATATATAAATATTATTGTAAAAAAGTTATACCGTATAAAATTGTTGTTATTATTTGTATTACTATTATTAATATTAATGTTTATTACTATAAAAATGATAACTACTGCCCATAAATAATGTTTTTTTTTTTTTTTTTTTTTTTTATTAAATAAGTAATAATTTTAAATGATAATTATTTTGAACAACTATATTTATTACATTTTTTTTTTTTATTTTTTTTGTAATGCATAATGCGAGTGTTAGCATGTGTTACGATATTAGGCTTTTAAAAACCTATGTATTTACCAAGAAATAGTGCAATCTATTGTAATGTCATTTTTAATACTCGCGGTTCTAATAATGGTTATTAAGTCCGCGATAATACCTATGTTTATTATAAATTTTTCAGTAAACCGTTGAACACTTATATGGCTGGAGAATACTGAACATTAATTAAACAAAACATGATCTCAGGTAAATTTAAAATACCTTACATGTTATAGGATAAATACTATTTATATGACTATAATTATTTTAGTGCTAGATTTTAATAAGTGCCAAGTATAGTTAGCTTATAAAATCAGTATGTACTTATGTGCCAATATAAATTACTATAAGTTTAACCCAAATTATAATTTAAGTTTAATTATACTTAACACTTAATGAATGTTGTATTATATAAGCACTTTTCTCTTTTTGAGTTTATTCGGTATCTCTAAACGCATAATACACCGAAGTAATAAAGAATTGAAAAGAGAATGCCTACTATAATAATATTGGTATGAAACACAAATTAATAAAAATAATTTGTACACAACTATCTATTATTGTACTATGATAAAACAAAATAATTAATAAATCATATTTTACTAGCGTGAATCACTTTTTCAGTAATAAATTTCACTACCTACCAACCTACCTGACAATATTAGTGGCTCTCTGAGATAGGTTATGTTAAGAGAAACTTCATTAAAGCCAAATAAAAGTTTATTACACTTAATCATTTTAGGTAATAAGATTAGCAAAAAAAAATATATATATCAAAATTTAACATAATTGTTTTTTTTTTTTTCATGAAAAACAGTTGGATACGTAAATCTGCTTTTTATATAAATCGTTAAAAATGAACCTTTTATCGACTTTTTAACTATTTGATAATATTATCATCTATGTGCATTACACTGTTTCCCGACGGCTAAATTTAATATATATTATTACGTTTTCAATCTTAAATCTGTCAATTATAATTATCGAACTAATGCCACATTATAATATATTAGAAAAAAATAACCTCTCTAATGATATAAAAAAAAAAATAACAATAAGTATGAATTAATATCTGCATTACTACAAATAGAAATACATTATGTGAGTAAATTATTCTGTTTTAAAAAGTTAAAATTAACAAATCGTAGAACAATTTTAAACATTAAGACAAAGAATTAAATGTTTATTGTATATTGCACATGAAGTGATTGCGTAAACAAAAGTATGCGAGTGGTGATTATTAAAATTATAATACGAGTGTAATAGATAGATAACTATAATGAATGGCAATAATATTGATAACTCAGTACGAAATCCATGTCGTGTGGACACTAAAAAAATGATTTGTATAAAACTTTACATGTTTTACAAAAATTCAAACAAATGTCCCGGATGAATAATATTCGATCAGCATTAATCAATCAACAGTCAGGAGCAGCAAAAAAAGTTAACAAAATAAATGCATGCCATTGACTTAATAATAATTTGGTTGAATATTGAACTGATGGATTGATTTTTTTTTTTTATCTTTTCGTCAAGCATTTTCTAGATTTTCTTCCACGAGTATTTTGCCGTCTTATTCCGCGTTTATAAATTTGTCAATAATGCACTGAATTCCGACAAGTACGAACATATTAGTATAGGTGTCCAATTGATGGGATTTCTCTATAATCGTACTTCGGGTCTTTTTTCAAAGTCCATTGTGTCGTAGTTTCGCTGGTTCGAATACAATCAAAGCGGATTCTATTAAGTGTACTACAGATTGATCACTACTGATCAAATTCGGACCTGACTCTTTGACAACCTGTTTCATTGTGATGACAGGGTACTTGGTATTCCCATCTCGTTACTCGTTCGTGATTAGCTGAGCTCTCCTCTAGTATCAGTCAAATATCATTTTAATATATAATTGTTGGATATTATTTTTTAAACTTAGATAATGGCAAATTATTAGCTAAACATAAAATATCAGATCAAATACCAAAAATTTGTCAACGTTTAAATTCGAATGGTTCTCGCGTTGTCCATTAAATGTATCGGAAAACGAAATGATGAAGATAATAATATAATGGCATACATTGTTATATAAAGAAATTGTTTAAACACACTCCAACACGTTTTGGATTCCGAGTGAGTTGAAGAAAGCGGTTGGTTTTAAAATAACTAAGTGATTCTCTCAGAAATTGTGTATTATTGTAAAATAAATACACCAAAAGTTTCACTTTACATTTCATCAATTGAAATTTAAATATGACAATAGAATAATAGTTGACAACTTTACAATTATGTAGTGTTTAAAAAATTTAAAAAAATCGTATATCCAAAACAATGGCCTGTATACAAACACAAAGAATATTCGCTTTAATTATTTTGATATTTATATTTATTTCCATTTGAATAAGTATTGATATCGAACGTAACGTTTAAATTTCGATAAACGGTTTAAATAATAAAATCCTAATACCAATTAATCATAGAATTGTATCGATGGTCAATTATAATATACAATAAAAAAAAAAAAAAAAATGTATTCTCAAATATTAACATTTGATAAAACGATAATAATAGGTCAGGTTTATAATATCCCTAAACCATTGTTATTTTCTGTCATAAATCTATCGAAATTAATTATCAATTATTTTATATTAAATTCGTACTGCATACAATCAGCCATCACCCATAATAACATATAAAAACATAAACAAGAATTTTATTCGATTAAAATAATTTACTTAACGTTGTTTTTTTTTTTTTTATTCAGGCTAACACTATTCATTAAGTTTTTTTTTATATTAAGTTAAAATTGTATTGAACATATACTAATTATACTTATATAATATGAATTAAATTAAAATAAAAATAATTGTATAGGTAGGTACATTGAAAGAAGAAAAACAAACGATTTTCGAGACGTTGAAAAATTAATATTAAAATAACATTATAATTGTTCGATCAATATTAAACTTCTAAATATGAATTTAATTCAAACTTAAAACAATAATACCGATCGTATTATTTGGTTATGTGAAAATATAGATATTTTCGTGTATTTTTAAATCTATGCCGACGTTTTTCTCTAAATTTCTTTAACACAATTATTATTATGTTATGAGAATAAAAATAAATTTTATATCAAAGCATAATTTAAATTAATCAATAAAACATTTTATTAGCATTTGTTTGTAAATAATATAATTGATTAGAAAATAATATGAATGCATTATTACAGTAGGAAACTATTATTAAAATTGTGTATTATAACGTCATATTCGATTCGTATAATAAGAGTCACGCTTAGAAATGTGTTATTGAACAAAAATATGCATAAAAAATCGCTTGACCACTTGATTGACTAGTGAAACGTTAACTTATTACATATTATAATGTTATTATCAATATTATCGTTAGTTCAAAACGTTTAAATATATTTTTTTAAATGTGTTATACCTAAAACGAAATCGTACGAAAACGCCATTTACCGTGTAGAATATCAAAAATCTGTGAAAATAATATTATATGTTTAATAGCAGAAATATATATATTTCTTTATCTAACAAAAATATGCACATAAGACCATAAATTTAGGCAACGTAATGGTATAATATTATTTAAACTATTTCATAGTTAAGATTATTTTCAAAAGCCAATATTATTATTGTTTTTATGGGAATAGGTACTCGAAAATTATTTCTAACGTTTACCAATAATGTTTTGACATTATAATAACTTTATTAGTATTGCAGTATAATGCAGTAGGTTAAGGTACGCATAAAAGACTATTAGAATTTATAAAAAAAAAATATATAAAAAAAAAAACAAGTTAACAATAATAGATTGTTGATTGATTAGAATATAATAATTTTTAATACGTACAATAATAATAACAATAATTATAATTATTATTATTAATATTATTATTTTTTTTAGGTTAAATTGTATGATAATTAATTGAAGTTACTTATACTATTATTATTATTTGTATTATTATTATTATTATTATTTTTATTATTATTATTATTATTATTATTATTATTATGGCTATAATTATTATTATTGTAGAAAACCTAGTGAATTGATTTAAAATACCTACCTTTTCTTTGTTAAAATTTGTTGCTCATAAAACATGAAAAATAATTGTAACCTTAATATGCCATGTTAGGCGTGTAAAAACAAATTATTTAATAACAACACTGTGTACAAAGAATAATTAAGAAGTAAATCGTTAAACATGTTTTTTTATATATATTTAAAAAAAATAACAATAATAATAATGACCTATGTGAATAAATAAATAAAAAAAAAAAAAAACCAATAATTTTAAATAATAATATTTGTATATCTAAAAAAGCCTCCGGGATTGAGGTCGTCATTTCTTGTGTATGTTTTTGTTTTTGTTTCTGTTTTTTTTTTTTTTATCAATATTTTATATGTACTATATATATATATACATATATATATATATTATATATAATAATATTGTATACTATTATTATGTAACATGACTATAACCAGTTAAAATACATTATGACGTGTAGACAATGTTAAAGAGTTTTTTATGTTACTTTATATGTATAATTATAATTAGGGCTCGGGACTTTATGTACTTAAAATCCACAAAAAAGCTATCAAAAAGGTCAAAAAACCCTCAAAAAGCAATTAATAAAACAAAAAATTCTAGTATATTTTTAAAAGTGCCGCCCTCTAACGGCTCTAACTTATAAAATACAATTTTCGAAACACTGAAAAAATGATTAGGACAAGTTTTTAAAAATAAAATAGGACGTATTATAAAAAAAAAACAATTGGAAAATCGTTTTATAGTATTAAAAAATTGCGTTTAATGGTTAGAGTTGTTATGGGGGAAAGGGTGAGAATTTTAAATTCCTCTATCGTTGTTAATTTAAAAAAAAAAAATCCAAAGCTCTTTTGACGTTTTTAAGGACTTTCCTGTAGATTTTAAATGCATTAAGTCCCGAGCCCTAATTATAATATTTATGTTTTCCCTTCGATTTTTTCAACGTTTATTTACATCACGGTTTTGTTTTATCCGTAAGTATATCGGCGAACGAAATGGCGGCGATTAGTCCCCATGGTATTACAGTTGCAGTGTACTAAACTCATAAAAACCGATCACGGCAAACTAATTTCCGAAATCTATACGGACGAAACCGGGTAAAAAATCGCCCGGCAAACAGCATCGGAGCTTTAATTCGAACTATGCTAATCGAGCGGGATACCTACTCGTATTATACGCGGATGTGCACCGCTGACCGCACGACGTCCGACAACAGGAATCCGATAACCGAGCTATTTACGACCTCGGTTTACGGAAAATGTCGTCGCTTTAAGCCTACCGCAAACAAAAAAAAAAAAAAAAAAACCTATACCTTTCTCGAAATCAGCTCACGACCGACGGTTTGTGACCCTTTGCAACTCGCACAAAAGTAAGTAGCAATATAGCCGATACAAGAATAATAATATACATGAATCGATATCGGTGACAAATTTACGCACGATATCGTATCAAAAACGAAAGTACTCAGTGGAAATGCCTGGGGTGATTTCGGGTGTATTTTAATCCGCCTCGTTAGTTTTTATTTTTTTCGTGAACTTTAGGTAAGGTTAAGAAGGTTGTAGACCCTTCAACTCCGGTAGACGCAGGATTTCTATATTTACTACGGTCTAGAAGTTATATGGCGGCATAACCGTTCTATAACGGCATAACGCCGTTCTAACGGCATGACGCGTGAATTATGTTTAAACTAGAATGATGGAGTCAACTTTTCGATAACGGATATTCCAATATTTTCCGCCGATAAAAAAAACGTATACCTGATACGATATTTCAAATTGAAAACCACGAATAAATATTCGAAATCAACTGATTTTTCGGTTTTACAATGAAGTTTATACAAAGTGTAATCACGGTTTTTAATGGTAACCACGGTGTTTAATGAGGTGCAGTAGAAAATCCGAAAATAATCGCATTCGAAAAACATATTACAATACCCGATAATAACGTGTCCAAAATATCTAAGCAGATAATATTATACAACCGACCGTATTCTTAGACGAAAATTATTTCAGCCGATACTCTATGGGTCGACACAACTTGTAAATTTCTTACCATTGTTCCGGAAGGCTGCTGAAATGTTTCAATTTTTAATCGAATTTCGGACATTTAAATAAAAACAGTTCATATAAACGGAATATTGTACTATTATATTATACGATTTACAGGCATTAAAAAATGAAAGTATAAAAATTAGAACGTTAACGTGACAGCTTGTTGTTAAGTGGCATTATGTTATTTAACATTGTAATATTTTCGTCTTAAATTATTGTAAGACAAAAACGATTTTTTTTTTTTCTAATTTAATTTTCCCGATTGAAATATACGGTTCGATTGATTAATTTTCAACTTTTTACCGAGGTCCCGTTTTCAATTCATCTAATAATGCGACAATAATCGTTCAAACGCTATTATACTGCACGAAACGTGTAATCATATTTTATAAAACGTCGTCTAAGCGATCCAATTCTTCTGAACGTCTCATTAAAAAATATATAATATAATAATAATAAGTATTGTTGAATTTCTTAACATTTATTTTCAAGAAAATCCCGAAACATTTCTGAAATCCGTGCTATTCGCGAATTAATGTTAATAAAAAAAATAATAATAATAATAATAAAAATAAACAATAATAATTAAATATTTATACCCATAGGATGTATAGGGCGCGTATATTTTTTGTACACGGGATTCGGGCGATGATTGAACGATGCATTAAACACACGTCGTGCATGATTGGAGAGTACTGGAGAGTTCCGAAATTCTAGTAGTATTCAAAACCGAATAAACCCCGAGAACTGGTGCAGCACATATAATGAAAATAAAACGCGTTCGCGTGTTGCAGTAAAATCATTATGGGAAAATAAACGACGGTGGGCGGTGTGTCGAGAGAGGGGCGGATGATGAGTTTTCGCCATCCCCGACGGGTTTGGTTGATGCGAGGCGGTGAATGGATACTTTATTTTGTGTACTGCCACAACAATTCAAATTTAATTCGGCGCCACTGGTCGTAATAGCTATCTCTCGTATAATCCGTTGGAGAAATTCGTCGTCTTTACTCCTTGCAGCCGACGGCGGTGCGGCAGAAGCGAAAATCGATCGACTCCTCTTTTCCATAAACATAATATGCAAACAAATGCCGCGCGACAGTCGTTAACGTTTTAACGATGACGAATATACCGTTTTTCCGTGCCGACAGACCGCTGAAGTAGAATACCGAATAAGTACGTATAATACAAAACACAACGAGACGTCGCGCCATCGCCTTTATTTTTAACAGGTTATACAATTACAAATATAATTCAATATGCATTATACATAAATAAAAAGCTAGTAAAAAAAAAAAAAAAAAAACAAAAATAGTTAATACTCATAGGTAAGTTAAATATAGTTAAGTAGGGGAGATGTGCAGTGGACAAACGAACGTTTTTCTAGCGTTTTCCGAATCGAATTTTAACGTGCGGTCATGTCGGTCATTTTTAGGAAATAATTATTGATTACGGAAACCCGTGTAAAATATAACGGTGCTAGTGAAGTTAGCCCCGACAAGTGGTCGGCTCGGCTGCAAACCGACGCCAACATTTATCTTCGTGAAGTTGGCGCACCCACCTTATCGGAAATCGATGAAATTAATATATGTATTTAACTATTTGGCAAGTAATTGGCAAGCATTTGCAAGTCATTAAGGTGGAGCGATCAAATAGAATCGTATCTCACTCATTTCAATCAATAGACTCTATAGTTCGAGTTTCAGTATTCGAGGATCGAATTTGGTGTCGGTTGATTCCTTATACGATTAGCAAGTAATTCCAGAGGCAAAAAAGAAACCGTACAAGCCCACTATTCGACCAGTACTTCCTTTTTTTATTAATATAATAAGAATAACTAGATTTCAATAAAATTAAAAAAAAAAGAAAAGGGAATTTAATAGAGTAGGAAAAAAATCAATTAAAACCATTGGTGTACGGAGGGGAGGGTTATGATTATTTCCTCGATTATTGCCTTGAAAATACAACTATGAGTAATTATTTAGTAATTTAATCTTGTAAAGTATATATTTGATCCAAGTTATAACAAATAAAAACTTTATTTATTGAATCTTGGCTCTTTTCGTTCAGGTTTTCAAATTCCCATTGTCGAGTTAGATAGATAAAAAAATATTCTATAATTTATTCGTCATTATTATTTTCGGTAGATCCCATTGAAAATTCCTATGCACGTCAATGATTGAAACAATAAGTAAGTAAGTATAGAAATATTCTTTGTGGTTAGTTTAATAAATAAAAGGTAATGTCCAATGCGAGTTTGAACAATAAAATTAGTGTCGCAATGAAAATATAAAATAATTATGTTTAATATATTATACATATTTCATAAGTACCTACCTATTTAGTAAGTTTTTTCAGTAATTTTTCAATTAACCTAAAAGTGTAGTGTTGTTACTACCTATATTTGACCGTAACTTACTAGGTATAGGTAGCTATTTAGGTAGCCGCGTGTTTGTATAAAACCGTGAAAACAATTGTATCAAAAACTAAAATAAACATTGTTATCAAGTCTAACTGGGGGAGATCAGGTTGATGCCTAATAATCTCCTCCCATCCTCTTGATTACGTGACTGTTTTTTGATATCTTGAAGGCAAATACGACCCATACATTTTTGTTTGTTTTTGTTTCTCCTTTTTAAACCGACAATAGTGAAGATCTGTGTTAACATTACCAGGTACCAGCAGTTACATAAAAGTATACACCAGCATTATGAACGTGACGAAACTTGTTACCTCCTAGGAATACAAAAAAAAAAAAAAAGCTAATACATAAAATATGGCACGTATAATAATATGTAGTCGACGGCGATAATGCGATTTGGTAGTTTGGGACAATTTTGCAGTATACACGAGTAGATAATACAGTTTTGGAGAACAAACAACACACTTCAAGCCTAACCCACTTATCCTATTGACCGTATTATCCGTACGACGTGCACGCATATAGTATGAATTTTGTAAATAATATATCTTTTGATATAGTTACAGCTAGTGGAAACGCGAAGTTTTTTTTTTCTATGAAGCAGTTTCAGTAAAATAGCAAAAAACCTCGAAGAAAATTGAATTTTTTTTTTTTTGTTGATTTGTAAATTACTTTAGCGACACGGATGAAAAAAAAAACAGTTATTATTAGTTAAATTGATTGTCACGGGTAGGGAAGTACCCTTTTTAAAAAATAAATTACCGGGCAACAACGGTTGGTTAACTGTGATAGAAAGTGAAAACAGAAAGTCACGGGGGAACACGAGGACACAAGTTTTAGTTTGTTAAATTTTTTTTTAGAGTCTCAGCAAATATTTGTTTTGTGCGATTTTTATTTTGATTTCTTCAATAAGTATATGTATTTATTTTCATTAACATAAGACCCTCGGCAACACGAGCAATTGGGAATATCAATGTTCCAGGGT